AATAGTTGTAATACCCATTGCTGCTACCAACAGTCAAACCTTTCATGATCTGAATCAGAATCCTTTTTATTGCCACGTAAGTAACAGGAGGTCACAGACTTGGAAATTGCTTTGGCTCGGTGCAACAGTCAGAGTGAGAGGTAGAGAATCTACATCTCCAGTGGGGGGTGTGGTCAAGCGTTGTCCCTCAGATGTCCCTCCCCCAAAAGCCTGGACTCAAGCCCTGTTTGCACCCGCCCTACTTGACCCTACTTTTCTCTGCATTCAGGGAAACGCTGGTAACCATGGCATCCAGCAGCCAATCGCTGGGAGTCAGAACACTTTGGTACCAGCCTGGAAAGAACCAGGGCCAAGCAGGTACTAAAAAGTACCTGGTACCGGTTAAACAGGGTCAGTGGAAACACTAGTGTAGGGCCAAGTTGGGCTGGTGGGAAACGGGGGTTTAGACAGAAGCATAGAGTATTTGTTTTCATTAACCTTAAACCTTTTTGATGTTAAAAGGTTCAATGCAATTTTCCAGAGGCCTGTTACGATAGTAATGATTTGAATCAACATTGGTAGAAGTAATCCAAGTAAGGATTTAGACCAAAAAAAAATCATGAGGCAGTCTCTGTTGCTGTAGTATGTACACAAATCATAAATGTGGACACTTTCTAATTAGCTGAAAGATCACAAACAATCATAATAAATAATGATTGTGATTGCTCTTTTTCTTTTTTTCAGCAAAAGACTATACACATTGCACTCTTTGCCATATTATAATAATTCATATATTTGAGTAATCTGTATTCTTCTCTCTGCATTCAAAACATAAGTCTCTCATCACCAGTACAGGCCCACTTTCTTCAGGCAGCATCACATTGGCATTTTGAAAATAAGTGGTATACTGTCCCTTTATGTTGTACTTAAAATGATATATACAAAGGATTCTCATACGTCTTGGATGATTATAAATAGCAGACAAAAGCATAGCGTATTTTCTGTGATGCCATTTCTCTGCTTGATATAGAATGAGCCAGTTCCATGAAGACCGAGGCATACATGGACAGCAGTACCATACAGTGAAAAAATGCTGCTCTGAATTATTCATTTTCACCCAAAAACACATCAATAATAGACCAGCATCAGGCAGCGAGGCTAGAATGCACCAAGAAAGGTTCTCGGACCAAAACCCCAAAGACATTAAATTTGACTGTTACTTTGTGTTGGACTGAGCTTTGATAAATCCTCTGTCCTGCGATTCTCCAGCTCACTGAGTAACTGGATCACAGACACGCACACAAACCTGAGCATAAAGGCACTGAGAAAACCTGTACCTGGAAGTCAGACATACTGTGGGAATGATGTCCACGCAATTCACTATAAGTATAATGTAAGTAGTTCAGATCAGAGATGGACTGCACTACAAAGGAGCAAAGCATCATGGTCGATGTGGTTCCCTCTGCGTCTATCGTTGAACAGAGTATTTTCAGAGGCGACGTCCTTGTGCTTTTATGCCTCTCGTGCCAAAAATTATGCCAAAAAATGGTTCAGCAGAAGAAACTTTAACCAGGAATCTGCCATTTTATTTTTCCATTCGATGATAATGCCGCATTTAACCTACTGTGTCACCAGCTGGTCACAGGGATGCAAGACAACCTTGAAGCACATCCAGTCTGTCTACAAACAGGCGTTAAAAGTCCTGGATAGGAAACCTTTCCGGCATCACCACTGCAGCATCTTGGCCAAATGTAAGATGCTCTGCTGGGAAAACTTGGTAAGATTTCAAGATGGTCCTCTGGTTTTAAAAATCTTAAATGGCCTGACCCCACCCCCACTATCTATTTTTTTTAAAGCAGAGCAGCAGAAACACCAGATCTGCTGCCTCTAATAATCTTCTCGTCCCACTGAGAAAAAGTTCCTTTGGCCAATCAGCTTTCTCAGTGCGCTCCGTTCAGTTCTGGAACACAATACCAGTCCATATAGGAAAGGGCACCACACTCAAGACTTTTAAACATACTTTACAAACCTAGTTATTGGACAATCAAGATTGTAACCACTCATGATGTGTTACTTGCTTTTATATGTTTTGATGACGTGTTTTAAATTGTAATGTTTCAGCCAGTTACTTTTATATTGTAATGTTTGCAGTGCACTTTGATGGCATCTTACACCTTGCCTAGGGACTACAGTTGGAAACTAGCTGTTAGCTAATACTGACACATTTACAGCAATGTTGATTAATGTGTATCGTCCCTATTAAAATAAACTAATAAATTAAAATTAAAACAAACAGCAGTGAAAGAGCTGTATATAAATGAAGTAATTAAACCTTAAAGTAGCAACATGTAAGAAATTCATGTCAAGTCATCATTAAATGGCCCTAATCTGTCAAAAGGCGTTCATAAATCATGCTCTTTTCCAATACTTCTTTAACTAATAGCAGTAGATCAGCCGGGATATTTTAATTAAAAAATTAGTTTAACAGGTTGTAACTCTTGTTATTGTTTTCATTTCGATGTCCCGCCCTCCACCGTTTCACCAATCATGTTGACAAATAATTTCTATATTTTGTCCATCAGAAATAGAATCAATATGTACAATACCAACATATATATATCAGTACGAATGAATGGATTTAGGCTGCGTTTCAGATTCATGCAGCTAAAGTCTGGAACAATCTTCCTGAATATGTGAGACAGGCTTCTTCTCCGACACTGGGCAGAGTGGATAGCACTCTCACCTCTCAGCAAGAAGGTCCTGGGTTCGAATCCCGGTCGGAACAGGGGCTTTCTGAGTGGAGTTTGCATGTTCTCCCCGTGTCTTCTCCGGTTTCCTCAGGGTGCTCCGGTTTCCCCTACCACTAAAAACATGTACAATAGGTCTGAATGTAACGAGTGAGTGAATGGACGGTGTTTGGTCGGAGGCTTTGATGGACCAGTGTGTTCCGCAACTCGCTTCCGTAATCACCGTGTGTGGAGAGAATGGAAAACGCTAAAACGATTGTAAGGCTCTTTGGGTGACCTTGGTCTGTAAAATGCGCTATATAAATAAACATTACTTACTTACTTACTTACTGGAGACAAACAACACAACCCAATGCTTATCCCTCTATGTGTCAAGTCAGATCTAATATGTTCTTAATGTTGTTTTTTGTCTGTACTTGTGCACACTGGGAACTTTTGCTAGTGAATTCCAATATGGTTTTACTGCAAATGGCAAATAAAAGGAATCTGAATCTGAATCTGAATATTAAGTCTATCGGAATGTTGTGTGCAAAAAACATAACGCCTTGTTTTGTGGAAAAGGACAATCCATAGTTTTGAAATGCAGCATGAGTATTTACCGGCTGCTGGAGCGTGCCGAGTCGTGGGGGTGCTATTTTCAGCCATATCTCACAGATGGCTGCTCCTCCGACTTCTCTGCTGGGCTCCTGTGTGGAAACAGTGACTCCAACCAGTCTCCACCGATTAAACAACAACTTGAATCGGCTAATATTTAGGTCAGAATCACTATTTTAGTACGATGCTATTTTTAACGTTCTTTTTTTGATCCTTTTTTTGTCTCTGTTCACATGACAGGTACACAGAGAACGTTACAAATCTCCTGAGACAAGCTTTGGAATATTGGACAAAGTATATTATGAGTGGGTCTTAATAACAGGGGTTTATATTGAGAACAAAAAGCCACACAAAAATACATGCAAATGTATTTACTGTTATAGAGTGAAAATTAAGATAAGATTAGAGAACCTTTATTTGTCCCACAGTGGGGAAATTTCAATGTTGCAGCGCACATACAGGTAACACGTAAGAACACTCAGGGAAGCACACAAAATATACAAAATAAGTAGTAGCTATGTTTCTTAGTGGAGCGGGTCTAATTTTCTCCGCTCTGCGTTGTGTTGATTTGTGTTGTGGTGCGGAGGAACACACGGGAGACAAGATTTCGAGGCGTTCTTTTATCTGGTCACAAAATGAAAATACTATGAACATGTGCCTCTGCATCAGTCCCAGCCCAAACTAAAAAATACATACAAAGCGTAAATAACTACAAAATAATAATTAAAATAGACATTTTGAGACATAACAACTTAAAGTGACTGACCTCTTCCCCGACACGGGATTTCAAAGGGAAGAGGCAGCGGGAAAACCCTGAATTTACAGTGTGGGACAGGGGGCCCATGAAGGAGAAATAAAAACACAGGAGTGGCTGGAGGACCAAAGCTGCACAACAAATCAGAGAACTGGACTAAAAAACAATTATAAAATAATAAAACTTGTAATGAAAATACAGCAATGACTGTTTAATTAACATAACACTTAATAAAATAAATAAAAATACACTGTAAATTTTTGAGAGAGGTAATTAAAATTGACTTTGCTACATAAGCTAGCTGTAAATGCGGTAAATGCTTCAATACCAGTCTTTAAAAAATATATACCTAGTACAAAGTTATATTCGGTACATATAGATAATCAGTAGATAAAGTGACATTGTACAGTGGAGTTGCAGGATTTACTTATTTACAGGCTCAGGACTTCTCATTGTACAGTTCTTATTGTTTTTTAAGATACATAAGTATAGTCCTGGTTATTTAAACATGACTTTGGTTGGAGCTGATACAGGCTGTGTTCATGTGACATCTTAAAATTACTAAAAATCTATGGTTAACAATTGTTTTCTCTGTAATTCCTGGTCCAGTCCACATGGAACCAAATCTACAACAAAGTTTGAGATCTTCGGTGTTATATTACATTCACATTAACGTGTAGAAGTGGTGACAATATTCAAAAACATGCGTATGATGTCAGTGTAAAGGAAAATCTATTCACCATCATACAATAATAATAATAATAATCAGGGAAAACATTTGAACATTTTCTTTTCCAACATTTCTGTTAAAAAAATGCTTCTTTCCAATAGGTTTTGAATCAGCCGCTGCCCGAATTCCACAGCGCAGTCCAAAACTCAGTCTGTTCCGTAGCATTTACAACACCCATTTGCTGCATTCCCCTCAGAATAATTGAGAAGCGGCAGCCCAATGGCGAGACGATCGAGCTGTCCGCAGAAGGCCGTCCGGAGCTGGTGGAGGAGAAGGAGCTGCCCGTTGTGGACTGCACCTGCTTCGGTCTTCCGCGCCGCTACATCATCGCCATCCTGTCCGGCCTGGGCTTCTGCATCTCTTTCGGGATCAGGTGTAACCTCGGCGTGGCCATCGTCAGCATGGTGAACGACCACACGGTGTACAAAGGCAACAAGGAAGTGCTCGTGGTGAGTGAGACAAGCAGCTGTGAATGATTCATGAGGATTTGGAATGATTTATTTACACAGGCGGCACATATGGATTTTTACTTAAAGGGGGCATAACCTGACTGTTCCCGACCTCTGTTGCCCGGCCCTATGTACCCCTCCCATAATAGATAAATAGATAGAGATAGATAGATAATATTATTTCCAAACCTGCACAATCATCATCATCGCAAAAAATCAACATAACAGACAGATAACAGGCATGGTTTGAAAAGGAGGTGGATGAAGTAAACGCTTATAGAATTCGAGCCTGGCCGTACCACACACTGGTACAAATTACATTTCGTTCTAAGGTCTGGAGGTGCTCCATTGAGCTCCGTTTACAAGTGGAAGGGGTTAACTCCTTTTGCAGATTGAAACGATTGGATCTGACTTTACCGTCACATATGTAATGCGCCCGAGTGTGTTGTTAGCATTTAGCCTAGCCATCTCCTTTGCTGCTAACGGAGCCCGTGGGGAGTAGCGCCACGTTCTTTGCCAGCGATTACATTTGCTAAACATTCCTCTTGCTCCGGCTTCAATTTCTTGATAGAACCAGACCGGAATACTTTATTATGGCATTCTTCGCCATTGCCAAACTACAACCTGCCCGTCCAGCGCAAACTATTGACTTCACCCACAAATAACTACAACACCCGCCTCTCGCGCTCACTGATTGGTCAGATGGAATTCAACTGATTGTGATCGCAAACATAGGGACCAGACCCAGACGTTACATGCAGTGAAATGCTGATTGAGTGAAGTGTACAGATGGATAAGGCAAGGCTAATAGAATTCCAAACCCCCTCACACATTCACAAAGTACAGCACAAGAACTGTATACAAACAGGATCATTCATATACAGCTGTGAACCTGTACAGTACATAGAGTGAACTAGGGGTGGGCGATATGGCCTAAAATTCATATTGCGGTATAATTTGGGACACAGACGGTAGACGGTATATATTGCGGTATAATTTGGTGTGTGAATTTCAATATAGGTCTAGCAGGTTCTTGCATAAAATAGTCAAGATTGTTAATTATTTATATATTAGAATCTAATATATATATTTTATTTATATATATTTATGTATGTTACAGTAAATACCATTCACTGTAAAAGCAATTTTTAAAAAGAAAAACATATGCATTCATTTAAAATATAAAAAACTCACAAATGTTGAAATCAAAGTCTGTAGGAGTTAGACATGGTCATTATTTATAGTGTCTGAGAGTTTCGTGCAGGTACATGACTTCAGTAAAAGCTATTTTACAAAGCTGGTCTTGCCATTTGTTGACGCTCCCTAAGCGCTTTTCTCTGCGCTGGATGATTCAATGGATTTATGTTCATTAAAACAGCGCATTGGATTTGAACAATTGATGTAAATGATCAATTTGGCACAAATAATTTTGTTTAACAAAGTAGCTTTCGTGAGATATTGACCGCGGAGGTCCGAATCTGACGCTAACTTTCCCAAACTTCTGCTGTAATGCTGCGGACACGGCACACGCATGGATCTATTTTGGCTCACGCTGGCGCTTCGAGCCTACGCCCCTTTGACACTGATTGGCCAAAAGGTAGACGCTTAAACTGTGATTACTGTGTGTGTATTTACCTCTGCTGGGGCCGCTGTGACAACAATACATAGACAGAAACACTGTGTTAATGCCGTGCTGTTGTTCGCTGTTTCCAGTGGTGTCCAATAGTGCTAGGCTAATGCTGCTGAATGCCGGTTTGTTTTGGTCCTTTCTGCTGGCGTCAGAGCCTGCGCAATTTAATGACATAATGACCTATTGCAATATGCCGGTATAACAAAAATCTCTACCGTGGGCCAAATTTATATCGCATACCGCTTATACCGTTTATATCGCCCAGCCCTAGAGTGAACTTATATATGACATTGTAACGCCCAAGTTCGTGTGACCAACCAGTTTCAGAGTGGACAAAAGTGCGGAGGCAGGTTGATTAAAAAGTAAGAGGTTTATTACAAAAAAAGATTTAAATGTTTTAAAAGTTATTTTAAAATGTCCAAAAGTGCATGTGTGCTTATCCATGACGTGGAGGGAATTTGGGGAGGAGATGGGGTGGATGACCATCCGGATAGCCAAGCTAAACAGCCTAATATGTGCGATGCCGTGGCTGTATGCTGGTGGTCTGACTCCACTTCTCCTGGGCCACGCCCGCAGCTCCCCTCCAGCACACCTGGACAATGCCGTGACAAAGAGACAGAGCGGTGTGCTTCTGCTGCTTAAACCAGAGTGAGTGAAGTGAGCTGATTGCCTCCACCTGTGTGACCACACCCCAAACGAAAGACACACCCATGCACACACAAACTCCAAAGTAAAGACACACACACAAAGAGGCGGGGATACAGCTCTACCATGGGTGGCACGGTGGCTGAGTGGATAGCACTCTCGCCTCTCAGCAAGAAGGTCCTGGGTTCAAATCCCGGCCGGACCAGGGCCTTTCTGAGTGGAGTTTGCATGTTCTCCCTGTGTCTGCGTAGGTTTCCTCCGGGCACTCCGGTTTCCCCTACCACTAAAAATATGTACAATAGGTCTGGCATGCGCCTCCTGTTCGGCGACCCCGCTCCTGTCTCTGTCTGGAGTGAGAGACAAGTGCCCAAAAAATAACAATTGTAAACCGCTTTGTGACTCTGGTCTGTGAAAGGCGGTATATAAATAAAGCTTACTTACTTACTTACCTTGTTACAACATGACCACAGAGACAGGACAAACAAGACAACACACCACAGACACAGGCCCAAACACTCTCTGACCCTACACCCTTTTCCCTTTTGCTTTACGCTGAGGGCATCACTTTCCTTCCTCTAAATATTTCTTTAATACATTTTTTTTAATACTAATACTAAATACTAATAATTTCTTTAATACATTTCAAACAACTGTTTGAAATGAATTATGCTTGGACAGTTTTTTAATTCATCCGGCGTGTTATTCCAAAGTTTTACTGCCCACACTGAGATACACATTGATTTTAGACTGGTTCTAAATGTAGGCAGATATTTAATTTTTCTCCCTCTAAGTTTGTGACTATGATGATCGTGTCTATCATGGAAAACGTTTTGAACATTTGGAGGCAGAGAGTTTTTAGACGCCCTGAACATAGTTTGAGCAGTTTTAAAGTTGATCACGTCCTGCTGTTTGGATTAGAATAATGACTGTAGTGTAAACCAGAGACGATCCTAATGTCCTTTTTCTGCAGGGTGATCAAAGGCTTTAACTGTTTATCCGATTCCTTTATTTATTTTTCTAGGTGTTTTTGACATTTTTTTGGTATTTTGGCCAAATAATTGTTTTAATTCAACTTGACTTTTTGGACTTTGAGTGCATGGTTGGACCAAAACTAAGTAGGCTTTTACTGAAAGACCAAATATTTTTATTACTTGTGTTCTGGTTTACATTTTTAGACAATTATAATTTACATGGTTTTAAATGATAAACATGGTTATAACATGCCTACTTGCCCATATTTAACCTTTCACTATCAATATTTATAAGTTTTGAAAATCAAGTTCACCCTTGCATACCCCTAGAGGTCCGTGTACCCCCAGTTGGGAAACACTGCTCAATGTTCTCTGACTTCTGTGGCTCTTTATTTAATATACAAGCTAAAATTAGGCTATAAAAATAAATTAGTTTGGAACCTGCTCCTTCAGTTCCCTATGTCCTGCTCGCTTCTGCCCCTTGGCCCCGCCCCTTAGCCCCACCCCTTTGACCGACATTACTGAAACATACACCGAAGCCTTCGCTCCTCTGCAGAAGTTGCAAAGTAGCTAAATTTGTTCTCTTTGAGCAAAAAGTCTTTCTTTTTTTACAAATTGTTTTAAGTGCGCGTAATTTCTCTGTGTGAAGAACTGTGGACGGCATATCTTGTTGTTGATGTGCTATACAAATAAACTTGACATTAACTTTATTATCACAGAATAAGTAAACCGTGGGAGGGGCCAGGTGGTGGCAAGGACGCCGCGCAAATATAACAATATAAATATCTGGAAAATACACAAATCACTTTAATACAGCTTTGTGATTAAATGTCAAGTGAAAACAACAATAACAAAGTCAAAAGCTGATACATTTTGTGAGATATTTCACCTTTAAATTCCTGTCATCAGTACTTTACTTTCTTTATCTTTACTTTCTACTCCTGACATTTCAGGTGTAAAAAATCATTTCTATTTGGAGACCTATACTTTTATCCAACACTTTTTAGAGTGGGGTTATTTTAGTTTAGTTTCTTCAAATACTTATCATTTTATTTAACGGTTTTATTAATTATTTAATTTAATTTTAATCACTTAGAACAATTTTGTTGGTTGTCCGGCATCTGTAAAAAATATGGGGCGTGTTATTTCGTCCCTCGACTGGCTTCCACGTGTTGCTGCAAACTGGCAACGTGAACAGACACATTATTGGCGTGTTCATCACATTTGAATAGCTTCAAACGTCTCCCATTTACAGAAGGTGCTGTTTATGGGAGACAGTCTGAAGGTTGTGTTAAGCACCTGGACACCTACAGTGCATCCATGAAACATCTATCTAACTAATAAGAATGGTGTTTGATGAGCCCCATGTGTAAATTGTGTAAATTGTGTAAATTGATTCTGATTCTGATGAATTGTGTTCCAGGCTGCACAGTTCTCGTGGGACCCTGAAACAGTGGGAATGATCCACGGCTCCTTCTTCTGGGGCTACATCGTCACTCAGATCCCTGGAGGGTTTATATGTCGAAGGTTTGCGGCCAACAGGTGAGAATATTTGTTGTTGTCGTGAAACGTGTCAGTCACATTTCAAATGTACTATAGCATTTTAGATCACAATAATGTGTTCGTTCAGGTTTTGTGATAGAAGGCCCTGTTCAAACAGAGACGATTTCAGTTGCAAAAGTATTTTGTCAAGTTCAGCTCTGAAATAAATCCACGACTCTTTATTAAACATGGTCCAAGAGTCAAAGGTGTAGGTTTGCGTGGGGGCTGTGGGGACATGTCCACACCAATATTTTGGGAGGACCATAATGTCCTCACCCGGACCAAATCCACCATCTCCAGTGTATTCAGACATCTCCTCCTTCCCTGCAGCTCTGCCGTCAGTCGGCAGGATTATCACTCCTGCCTCGCGTGAGAGGAAAATACATAAATATATTAACCACAGAGTTATTGAAATGTTTCTGAAGAATAAGTCCATGTGAAAAGTTTCTGCTCATTTTAATCACTTCTGAAGAAAAACCTCCTCTTGTTTTCACCTGCTGTGTTTTCTGTAGTCAGGGTTAACCTCTAACCACAGAAAACACAGTTGTTCTCATTAGCACCACCATCAGGCCTGGCACCTCAACTACAGTGATCTCAGCTTCATGTGGTTGGATACATTTACAAAGTCTGTGCATTTTTACGGTTAGTTAGTTATATTGTTAAAAGTATACAACGTTTTATCTTTGTCTGGATGGGTCATTAGCATTGATCCAAGTTTGATACAGGGCTGACTAAAGTTACAACTACTGCGATCACAGTGAACAAAAACACGCCGTACAGAGCCGTAAAGTTGGTCACTATAGATGACCACAGCATGATTTCTTTATCGTTTCTAATCCCCCTAAAAAAATGTAAATCCACTCAATTTCCATCTTGTTTGATTTGATCCAAGTGACATTTGGCAAAAAAAAACGTATATGTTTTTTTAATATAGTGATAATTATCAAAAAAATATTTGTTAACACACCACTACTAATTAGATAAGCGATGAAGTGGCCTGCTTCTCTGCCATCCCCTCACTCTTTCTGTGGGTGTGAGCAGGACCCGTGCACTCATCCTTGTGTCTCGTTCCTCAGAGTGTTTGGATTTGCGATCGTCGCCACGTCGGTTCTCAACATGCTGATCCCGTCTGCTGCCCGCTGTCATTACAGCTGTGTGATCCTGGTCCGGATCTGTCAGGGGCTGGTGGAGGTATGATGTGCTAAACCCGTCTGCTTCATCAGAGCAAAGTGCAATACCATCCTTTTCACTATTACAGTGTCCTTCAATACAGCCTGAACCGTTTCACATTGTGTCATCTTTACAACCATAAACATGAATATTTTATTTTACATTTTTTACTGAAAGTTCTCACACAAGTAACAAACAACTCTGAAGTGAAAGTAACTATGATTCTGTTAAATAGAAAACCAAAAAGTTGGGCATGTGCAAGTATTCAAACAGCATGAGTTAGTTCTTTGTGGAACCCTCTTTTGCTGCAATAACAGCAGCAATACCTTTGGCGAAGGACTCTACAAGATTATCACAATCTATGAACAGAAAGTTTAGCCCATTCCTCATAAACAGAAATTAGATTGAGAGCGTTTGTGAACAGCAGTTTTCAGGTCTTCTGCAGATTTTCTCTTGGATCTAGGTCTGAACTGTGCCATTTAAAACACATTCTATTGTGGATTTAGCTTTGTGTTCAGGGTCCTTGTCCTGCTGGAAGGTGAATCTTTTCCCTAGTCTCAATTCTGCTGACTTTAGCAGGTTTATCTCCAAAATATTCCTGTATTTGGCTACATCCATCTTCCCAGCTATTCTTAACATTTTCCCAGTTTCCGCTGAAGAAAAGCAGCCCTATAGCAAGATGCTCCCCCCACCATATTTGATACTGGGGATGGTGCACTCAGGACGATAAGCAGCGGTAGGATTGCGTTATACATAACTTTTTACTTTTGGGCCAAAAAGTGTTTTTGTCTCATTTCACCAAAGCACCTTCTTCCACATGGAGGCAGTGTCTCCCATGTGACTTCAAACAGGCCTTGTTTCAACATTGCCACTCGACCATAAAGGACAGATGTGTGTAGAGTACGACAGTCGTCCCATGTACAGACTCCCTCAGCTCCCTCCTGAGTCATCTTGGGGCTCTTGGTTTCCTTCCTGACCAGTGCTCTCCTTGTTTGTACTGTTATGTCATACACTTCACAGTTCTGTGCTACTTCAAATATAAAATAAAATCTTTTTGTTTATGGTTGTAAAACATAGCAAAATAGGACCACACAATTAATCTAAATCAAATCTAAAGGTATAGGGCCTTTAGAATTACATTTTAGGCTAATATTTGATTTCCAGGCTGGAGAGACCTGTATTATGATACGGTTACTCCTTCTTTTGTCCAGTATTCAATTGTTTTGTTTGAATGATTATACAATTAAGTTTCTGAGAAAAATAACAAAAGAGCCAACAGGTATACGACGGTTTTATTCCTGCAATAGATGGAAAACGTACAGATAAGTCAGAGCATTCAAAATACAATATAATACAATATTCTAGTAGTTACAAGTAGGACTGATTCTGTAACTAAATATATGACCCCACCTTCCCCAACCCAGGCCATGTGAACTTTAACTGGAAGTAAATGCAGAGTATAATGACATTACTACAGCTACCACCAAAATGTAATGCATTTGTTATAATGGTGTATGTATGTCCATATCAAGTAACTGTTTAGTATTTTCCGCTTGTCTCAGGGCGTGTCCTACCCGGCCTGCCACGGGATCTGGGCAAAATGGGCTCCTCCGTTGGAAAGAAGTCGTTTAGCCACAACTGCTTTTTGTGGTGAGTGAAAAAAATGTAAGAGACTCTTGTTTGTGGATGAGTTTTTTAATTCTTATTCTTATGTGTGGTGTCTCCTGCAGGGTCTTACGCAGGGGCTGTGGTGGCCATGCCTTTAGCCGGAGTCCTGGTGCAGTACACGGGCTGGCCTTCTGTCTTCTATGTCTATGGTCAGTGTCCAGTCCTTGCATTACTGTAAAGCCATTTAATTAATATATCATTACTTTCTCACACTGATTGCTTGGGTTGCATGATTTTTAAAGAAATCGCGGTTACGTTTTTTGATTCGCAATTTCTGTTGTGAAAGTGGAATAATATTCAAAGTGCGCTATAGGATCATTCAAATGTGAGAGAAAGTAAAACCTGAACAATCGCTCTTAAAGAAGAGACCCCTTTATTCTGCCTGTAACTTAACCAGAGCGAGGCGTTGAATTTGTTTGGTCATTTATTTCAAATTTGAAGATTACCAGATGCAAACACAGCATTGGGATTGGAAAGAATATCATTTCACTTTCATTAAAAAGCAAATTCATGGGCAGTACTTTTGTTTTAAAGGGCAGAAAGTTACTCTGAGGGTGATGTCATAGTGGTACAATTACGTCATACTGCTACAGGATTGGAAAGGAGCTTTTAGGCAGAGTCTGTTTTGGATGAGGAACAATGTTGTAACATAGTTTAAAGCAATTTGGCATAATATCCCAAAATGCTTCAATCTCTGTTGGATAAGACTGGGCTTGTCAGTTCCAGTAGGAGATAAAACACTCACAATACAATAAAATTAGTTAAATATTACCATATTTAATATCTTTTTATCCTTGCGTTTCTAAAGCTGTTTTATAGCTCCACACTCGCTGATAGCCCGGTCTTTCTAGAAAGCAACAAGATCATTTGTTGTTTGTAAAGAAGATAATGTAATAATTGCAGTCTTTACTAATTGCTGTCATGAAAACTGTGATTTCAATTGGATTGCGATTAATCGAGCAGCCCCTCTGATTGCCCATGGTTCTTGCGTCCCACAGGCAGCTTTGGTATTTTCTGGTACTTGTTTTGGGTTCTGGTCTCATACGAGAGTCCTGCAGCTCACCCCACCATCACCCCCGAGGAACAGAAGTATATTGAAGATGCTATCGGAGAATCTGCGACTTTTCTCAACCCTCTGCATGTATGCATCGAACCAAGGTCCATTTGTTCCCACTTTTTAATTCTATTTCAACTTCAATGTATGTCATTTATGTTGTGACAGAAATTCAAAACCCCCTGGAAGCATTTTTTCACCTCCATGCCAGTCTATGCCATTATTGTGGCCAACTTCTGCAGGAGCTGGACCTTCTACCTGCTCCTCATCAGCCAGCCCGCCTACTTTGAGGAAGTCTTTGGGTTCGAGATCAGCAAGGTAGACCTTTATGTTTAATTCTCAAATGTATTGATAAAAACTAGCCAGGCCACTGCTACGCAGTCCCTCCAGATTTCTGCGATGTTGCGATTGAAATTATTAACGCTAAATCAAGCAAATTCAGCTAAATCAGCTCAAATAAGAAGTGTGTGGCAGTGTGACTGAGTCACAGCTCTCCCTCTATCACTATCTATTACTGTATAAATTGCACCTTACTTTTTGTCAATAAAGCATGTTTTTGTTGAATGATTTTGGGGCCCGAAGGTCGTGGGTTTGAGTCCATAAGACCTACTTCATGACTCCCAATGATGTCTGCTGCTGTTGTGTCCTTGGGCAAGATACTTAACCCCACTTTGCCTGAAGCTCCCACTGAAAGATCTCCTGTGGACTCAGCACCTGCAGGAGGATCAGTGAGGGTGCAGCTCTGACTGCCACCCCCCCGACCCAGAAATGGATTAAGGGGAAGAAGAATTTTTATCCAAAAATTGAACTTGCCATTGCGAAAACTTTTGGAAAAATTTTCCACAAAATCAAGCATTTTAACAACAATCACAATAATTCCCAGTAAAATCCTGGAGGGACTACGGATAACACATACTGTGATTGTATAATTGCACAGTTCTTTTCCCACTTTTGTTGTGTGAACTTTGATTAAAGTATTTTGTTTTATGGTTGGAGACCCCTGTTTCTCCTAAACTCAGAAAGAACTGATCCAGAGTCAGCATGTGTCTTCACCACGCTTCCAAACTAACCGATTAGATAATTATGCACAAATCAAGTTGTGATCAAACAAGCCTGGAACTGCTTTTGTGGAGAGCGTCATGTGACCATCTCGGATTTGCACTCCACAAACTTAAACATATAAAAAACTTTCAAACCAGGTCAGCATTGACACCGACCTTTTTGTTTTCATGTGCGTTTAACTTGAGAAATTGTCTAATGCTTAACGAATACTTGCAAACACCCGTCATTTTAACTTAGCTCTGGTCTAATGATCAGGCACAGACCACAAAGACCTTAATCATTCAAGACAAATGTCCGCTCCCTCTCATCACAGCAGGGGATGCTCCAGGGCTGAGTACCGGCCTGAGTTCCTGAGTTGTTATTTCTATTTGAGCGAGAGTTCATGTGCATCTTTCAGATCCGAAAAAAAATATCAGAGTTTCCAAACTTTGTCCCGACCGCTGAAATAGCTTTGGGCCATGAGCCATTCTTTGAACCTGGCTCTAAAGCTGTTTTTGACTCCAGTGTATTTCCTCTTGAATCATGTCAGAATGCAACGATTCCGAACCTTGTTTAAATTACTATAAAATAAGTAGTCTTTGAGACATTTAAACGCTTTGTAATAACTGCTGCTCAGACTGATCATTCTGTCTCATGGAGTAATATTGTCTCACTTGTGACATAACGGCCGTGTGGTGTTTGCCAACCTCCATATTGGCCTGTTCTCTGTCCCTTTAGGTGGGAGCGGTGTCCGCGCTGCCCCATCTGGTCATGACCATCATCGTGCCGCTCGGAGGCCAGCTGGCGGACTACCTGCGGACACACAACCTGATGACCACCACCAACGTCCGCAAGCTCATGAACTGTGGAGGTCAGTATCACATCGGGCCTCATTCAATTCAATCCTTGTTGAATCCAGATATGTGCCATAACAAACTCAAATGGTAATATCAAACTGCTTATCCTGCTTCAAACGAGACATATTGTGTAAAAACTGTTTTCTACGATGATGGGCAGATGAGCAGCAGTAACGTAAGCAGCAACGTAACATTTTCTTACACGACACCAGATAGATTTCATCTCTGAATGCGTGCGCGACTCCACCGTGGCCATACTCCGTATATGCCGCAGCCCGAGACGCTGTCAATACATATAGTTTTCTGTGATCCAAGACCCCATTAACACTGCGCAAGTGCGCAGAGGCTTTGTTTTTCCTGGTTTGGTTGGAACACGCCCCATAATCACAGCCCAATGGATCAGTTTCAGATAGGGCTGTCAAACGATTAATTTTTTTAATCGAGTTAATTACAGCTTAAAAATTAATTAATCGTAATTAATCGCATTTCAAACTATTGGCAAAATTATGCCATATTTTTCTGTAAATGGTTGTTTGAATGGAAAGATAAATGACAGCTTAGTGAACATATGTACTGTATTTGTTTGTTATAACAATAAATCCATATAAAATGGAATTAAAATTATTAACATTCTGTCTTTTTGTTTAGACTCAGACCAAAACCATTGTTTGTTACAGATGAGGGACATTTCAAAACAGTCTGAAATGCAGAATGTCATTAAATCTGTTTGATTTGCTCAAACCATTACTTTTTTGGCACAACTAGTCGAAAGGAAAATTAGGTACCTCAGCTTTAATTTAGCGAGTGCGCTTTGGGAGAAGACACGGAGGAGACAGGCTCCGCAGTCCAGCTTCAGCGCTGTACATATTGTGTGCATCGGTTACGCAAAGACACGTATGCACACTAGAGAATAGTTCTGTAATAGTTCTGTGCGTGGTCTTGGATATGATCCCATTACGCAGCGCCGTTCACCGTGATCACAGCCGCTGGAAGTGGTGCTGCTGTCCAGAGCGCTGTGGCGCCCGCAGGTCATCATGCAGAGTTCATACAGGAAACAACAAGTGCCCCGCGGTCACGCGTGTATTCTTTCAAAACTTGAATTCCCAGAGGGCCTACCTGCGCTGTCCCCATCTTACACACGCGCATGTGTCCGTGGCATTCTGAGTGTTATTATGGGACGCATGGGCATGCGTCAAATGCGTTCATTTTTTTAACGCGATTAATGAAAAAAATTAATTAACGTGCGTAAACGCAATAATTTTGACAGCCCTAGTTTCAGACTCACATTTTGACCAGAATCGTGAGGATGACGCTCGAAATTAGATGGAAGAAGAAGGACTTTAGCTTGGATGGCAGTTAATCTTCTCTTCTCCTCAGGTGGATGTTTCCGAGGTCTATGGTGGTTTTGCTTGATATTCCACAAGAGAAAGAAATGTATATATCTTCATCAAATTAAAAACACCATTATGTTGTCACTACAACATACAAGAATCCTCAAAAAGAACCCACATTATTTCTTATGGGGTTTTGAAGAGATAACAGAAAAACTGCATGAATGTGACTAATGTAATAAGAAATGTCAAGCATAAGCCAACATCTTCATTTAATGATAGAAATAAGAATTTAATCTTGCTTTATAAAAATTTAAATGCAACGTTATTTGACTGGAGAAATCCCCTAACTAATTTTTTTTTTTTTTTGAGAGGCAGAAAACACCATTATCCATGATGTAATTATTAATTAATATAGTGCAGATGTGTCAAAACATTGGAAGTTCGAGATCAAAAATCCAAAATATTTTGAGGCAACAGTGGCTCAGTTGGTAGAGCATTGGCCTTTGAGTCTGAAGGTCGTGGGTTTGAGCCACTTCATGACTCCCACTGATGACTCCTGTCGTTGTGTCCTTGGGCAAGACACTTAACCCCACTTTGCCTGAAGCTCCCGCTGAAAGATCTCCGCTCCTGTGGACTCACCACCTGCAGGAGGATCAGTGAGGGGCTGGTGCTCTGTGACTGGGTGCAGCTCTGACTGCCACCCCCCTGACCCAGAAATGGATTAAGGGGAAGAAATTGGATGGATGGATGGATAATAAAGAAACATTCTAATTCCATTTCGTGTCACAACGAAATGGTACACAAACAAATGCTGCTTCCAGTTTGACAATGTGACTATTGTTTGTGCTTGCTGCGTTTCTCACTTGTCACATTTCTCTCCTCTGGACGTGTTAGGCTTCGGGATGGAAGCCACCCTCCTCCTCGTAGTGGGATACTCGCACACCAAAGGCATCGCCATCTCTTTCCTGGTCCTTGCCGTGGGCTTCAGTGGCTTTGCGATCTCAGGTAGGCGGCGTGGACTCATCAAGAAGCATATTCACCATCACACAAGCAGAATGCAATCTATGTGTCTGGATATGTGTCTGTTTATCATGGTTTTCAGAAAATTCATTACACACTGCTCAAACAAGGTTTTTATCGCCTTGTCAAACTAGCACCTCTCACAAAAGCTTTCAAGGAGAAGTTTTCCCTTACTTTTCCCCTTTTGTCTTTGACTTTCCCCAGATGTGAAAGAATCAATAAGTCTTCCCAGTATCATTTTCCTACAGATCGGAACTCATCACAGAAAAAACACAAATCATTTTATTAATAGTGCAGTGGGTTTATGTAAGGGTCTCCCATCACAGTCCTAACTAGGGCTTGCCCTGCTTAGTTTCAGATGCTTGGGATCTGGCGTTCACATGCAGGTGGAGCCACTCTAAAATCTTTTTGGATTTATCTTTGACACCCTGCTGAAAGACCTGGTATTGCATAAATGTACAGTGCCTCTCAAAAGTATGAATACAGCTTGAACTCGAACAGTCATGTTTACAACCACCAAGATTTTATTTAGATTTTTTTTTTTTGCTGAAAATTGAACTGTGAAGTTTTAATAATGATTAAAATGAGGTCTTCTGTGTGTAATCTACTCCCAGTTTCTGTGAGGGCCTCAGAGCTATGGTTGGAGTGTATTAAAGTCAATAAACAACATCAGGAGGCTAAAGAGCACAGCAGAGAGATCAGGGATAAAGTTAGTGTAATGAATTAGTGTTAAGTTATACCAAGATTTCCCGAGAATTGAAGATCTGGGAACCACTGGGAACTTACCAAGACACTGCCGTCCACCTAAACTAACAGACCGAACAAGGAGAGCACTGGTTAGAAAAAACAACCAGGAGCCTCAAGATGACTCTGGAGAAGTACTGCACTGAGCTGAGGGAATCTGTACATGGGACGACTGTCGTACTCTACACACATCTGGCATTTATGGAGGAGCGACAAGAAGAAAGTCATTATTGAAATGAGGTCTAAAGAAATCCTGTTTGAAGTTTGCCAGAAGTCATCTGGCAAACATCATCGCACCATCCCCAGTGTCAAATGGGGGGGGGGGGGGGGGGGCAGCATCATGCTATGGGGATGCTTTTCTTCAGCGAGTACTGGTTAGAATGTAAGAATAGCTGTGAAGATGGATGAAGCCAAATACAGGGACGTTTTGAGGAATTGGCTAAACCTTGTGTCCATATATGTGCAAAGTCGAGCCCCAAAAGACTTTCTGCTGTTACTGCAACAAAAGGGGGTTCCACAAAGTATTAACTTAAGTATTAACTGTTGTATGAAGACTTGTGCAGGCCCATCTTTTCAGTTTTTGAATCATGTTTCATTTTACTTTCACTTTATAGTTGTCTGTTACTTGTGTGTGAACGTTCAGTAAAAAAACATCTGTATAAAATCTTTGTTTATGGTTGTAAACATGACAAAATGTGCATAGTTCAAGCTGTATTAATACTTTTGGGGGGACTGTATGTATTAGCACTGTCAAACAAGCAAATATATTAAAATATAAATTTATTATTTGTTTATTTAGTTTGAAGGATAAGCCCTGAGAGATAAAACATCTCGTTTTGATGGGGTCCTCAGAAATGCACATGGCATTTAATCTAAAAAATATAATAGTTAAAGCAATTAATTGCACGCCAACTGACCACCAACACTCTTTCCTAACGACACAACCACTGTTGCGGGACGGCTACGGCCTCCCATCACAGCACCTACCAGACCATGCCCTGCTTAGCTTCAGAGTATGCATTCCACAATAAGTAATTTATTCATTTGAAAAGAGTTGCATCTGAGTAGCATAAAACATAATTAGATCCTTTTTCTATTGTCTTTGTCCCAGGCGATTGGCGCATTATGTTTGATTGGTGTAAATAAAATACAATCATTATTATTTTTCTCTAAACATGTGCAAAACTCTATTTCCTTAAATTCCTGTGTTTTTCTACATTCAAACAGGTTTCAATGTGAACCACTTGGACATTGCCCCCCGGTACGCCAGCATCCTGATGGGCATCTCAAACGGGGTGGGCACTCTGTCGGGCATGGTGTGTCCTCTCATTGTGGGGGCTATGACCAAACATAAGGTACGGCGGCGTGGGCGGCGGCGTGGACGGCGGCAGACCCAGCATCCTGGTCACATGACTAACCACAGCCGCTTCTGTGTCTTTTCAGACGAGGGAAGAATGGCAGGGAGTGTTCCTGATTGCCTCTCTCGTCCACTACGGAGGAGTGGTTTTCTACGGTACATGTGAATATGAATCATTATGACAACACGAATGCGTCTCTTTCTCACTTGTCTTCTCAAAGTTGGATTTTAGTAAAAAATAATTAAGATGCATGGGGGAGGTGAAATCCTGGTTTTAATCCTTGTTTTGTCATTAATGATTTGAGAATCATAACGAGACCTTTTTTAGTTCTGTGGCGACATGTTACTTTACCAGTGAGATTTGCTCGACGCAGTGAGTTCTGGCGCCCGGATCACAGACTTTCTGATTGTTGAATTAAAACTAATTTTGAAATTTGACTATAAGATAAGTAGTTGTGTCCTTGGGCAAGACACTTAACCCTACTTTGCCCAAAGCCCCAACTGAAAGATCTCAGCTCCTGTGGACTCACCACCTGCAGGAGGATCAGTGAGGGGCTGGTGCTCTGTGTACTGGGTGCAGCTCTGACTGCCACCCCCCCAACCCAGAAATGGATTAAGGGGAAGAAAATGGATGGATGAATGGATGGACTATAAGATAAGATAAGATAGACTTTATTGATCTCACACTGGAGAAATGTACATGTCACATCTGGCATGGACAGAATCACTCAAGATTGTGCAAAAGAAAGAAATGTGCAACATGTTAAATGCAGGATATATTATGTACAATAAAAAGTGGCAAACAAGAAACAGTGTCAACAGTAGTGCAGGTTTTTCAGTCCTAATGCAAGTGAATTAAAGTGACTAATTGTACAGTCTGTACTGATTGTATCTCTAAACTATTGTTATCAGATAAAGAAGTATTTGAAAAGAGCACGTATATTAATGCCTTTTGTCAGATTAGGGACATTAATGATGACTTGACATGAAAATCATGAAAATTTAAGACTTATTGTGCATCGTCCCTGATCAAATAAAATAATTCAAATGTGAAGGCCCCTTTACTCACAAGAACACATCTCTATGAAATTATCATTTCAGAGAGATCTCACTTTAACAATTGCCTTTCTCATCTCCCAAGGATTGTTTGCCTCGGGAGAAAAGCAGCCATGGGCAGATATAGAAGACACCAGTGAAGAAAAGTGTGGTATAATCGATGAGGACGAACTGGCCAATGAGACAGAAGAGATGTACCGCGGGGGCGGGCAGTACGGGGCAATGAGCCAAGTGGTTGGTTCGAACGGAGGAGGCGGAGCTGGCAGCGGCTGGGTGTCGGACTGGGACAAGTCTGAGGAGTATGTACAACCACGAGGCCAGTGAGGAGGGAGAGCAGCTGGCCCTTAGACTTTATCAAGCATTACAAAGAGGTAACAGCAAGATGGAAGACAGATTTATACAATCAAGATGCTGCAACTCGTGGATCGGACAGTCCTTTACGTAGTATTTATATTTACATTTGGCTGTATGAGTGTGTTCTGGGTTATGCGGGACTCTCTGCAGATGTTTTTGTTTTAATGTGCGTGTTCTGTGTGTTCCTGATGTTGTGAGCCGGCCGCCCCGTATGAGAAGGAATGACATTTGCAATAACAGTATACCAGAGTACAGGTAGAACTCGGAAAATGACTTATAATAGTTCAAAAGTTAATTTATTTTTGTCGTACAACTTAAAGTGAAGTCTGTTACATTGCTTAGACCCACCCATGCTCACCACCGGGGCTTCAGGATTGGTGAAATTAGTTAAAATCCTTGTGGTTGACAAGTTTTCCTCCAGCAATTCTTACTGGAGGAAGATTGTTGTGCCAAGTGGAGGGACTATTTTGAGGTATATTAGTGTTGAATATTCCTTACTGAACATGATCGTAGAGATGGTGAGAAATATACATCCAGTTTAAAATGAAATACATTTGAAGTTGCGAATGTCACCTGTAAACTGTGAATCCAATAAATTATATATACTCACTGAATGCAAAGTGGCACATATTAGTTTCACAAAGTAATGATGATTTTAAAAAGACAAATGGACGCTTTGAACGATATTGTTATTTTCTGAGTTTGACTTGTATGTTTCTATCTTTTCTGTGGCAGCTGTACTGAATCCTGTTGAGCAAGTGAATAATGTCAAACCTCAACTTAAAGACTGACTGAACATAATACAAAAAAAGTTTAACTAAAAAAATTAGATCATTGTTCAAAAGTCCATTTAATTCTGTGATTCATTAAATGAGCTTGAAGTTTCCGACATCGCCTGAAAAATGTGAATCCAATAAATGATATGGACTCATGACATGCAAAGTAATATGTATTTGTTGTTGAATTAAAACAAGACAAATGGACGCTTTGAACGATATTCTGATTTTCCGAGTTTGCAGGTGAAGTTTGGGTTTTAAATACAGAATGATTGTTGTTTCATCACAAATCTATTTTCTAACTATAAATGTTTTAAGGTACAGTATATAGTTATTAAACGAGCAGTATGTACAATTCTGGCCAAAAGTGGTACTGCAGCCTCTCCCACTCTCCCTGGCTCAGGTTGCCAGATATGCAGACGAATCCAGCTGGAACCATAATAACTGCATAGACAAGAGTTTTGTCAACATCAAATCTATAACCAACAACGTTTTCACAAAGGCCCCGATATAAATCCTTGTTTTATTCCTTGTTTTGTCATTACTGATATGAGAATCATTAATGTTACTTTACCAGTGAGATTAGTTCGACACGGTGAGTTCTGGCAACCCGGATCACAGACGTTCTGATTGGTTTAACTGTGGAGGACGGGACATTGAAATTAAAACAATAAGATTTAGGGGCTGTATAACTAATAAGAGAATGGTTTATTAATACCTTTTGACAGATTAGGGCCATTTAATGATGACTTGACATGAAAATCTTACATATTGCTTCTTTAAGTTATTATACAGAAAACTGCAAAAAGGCTGGAGACCCCTGACCTCCAGCAGAAGGTCAGCAGTATGAATATCAGCTGAAATATGTCCAGGCAGCAGCATGTCTTGGCTCCGTGCTGGGGTGGTGTAAGCAGGTGCTGTGTCCGAGCAGTGGAAGCATGTGACGCACTTCTGTCTGAATGTGCACAGGTCCGTGTGAGAGGCCTGTCTACTGTGGCTCACCTGAGTCTGGTCTAACTGGGCCATGTGGGTCGCAGCGTGCAGATGACAAATCATATGCCACACTGGTTTTTACTGAAATATAACGCAGTTTGTTTACTGTGCTCACATAGGTCCAATTTATTTACAGCCAACAGTCTTTTTTTGTTATAACTGTGCTTGATATGGCTGTAATGTCCCGGGCGTATCTTCATGACCGCACTGGGAAAGCACATATGAGCTAATCTGAATTGTTGTTTTTTTCCTCTTCAGTATTTGATGGTGTTGGCAAATGTTCCATATTGGCCCTTGCTTTCCATCTTAAACTATGGGTAGAATATTGTGAACTCGACCTATGATTTCTAAGCATGTGTGGAGTCTCCTTATGTGTGATTTTCTCCCTGTACCAATACAATTTTCAACAGGATTATTTTTCTTTTCGTTTTGTTTTTTTTTTGCCATTTTTGACTTGGTGCTGTCTTAATGTTGTGAAACTTTTGAGATGGTGAAACAGAGATTTGAATATATTTTTCTTTTTTGGTAAATGTAAGTGTTTGTAGTTGGGTGCAGGTGCAGAACCAAGTGCAGTGAGCATGTTCAATGAGCCCTACTCTCTAGTTTATATTCAATATACATGACACACTTACACATTTACAACTGGTACACAGCGTATTTGTACATATATAAATATTTATGTAAAAGGGCTGCGTGTACCTTTTCGGGTTAAGGTGCACCACTTACATTTAAAGAATCAGAGATATATTTATCACAGGTTTGAGGCAATATTCTCGCTCTAAGAAGTAAGAACAGAACCATTCATTGTGATTTTATACATTCCAGGTGATTCTAGCAAGACAAGTAAGTGCTGCACTATTACCCAGACAATTTATTAACTCATTGACGTATTTATCTGAGACCCTCTTTTCGACTGGCGATTACAGGAGAAAAAAACTAGCTAGAAACAAAATTATTCTTGCTGCTGAAAGTAGACAGTCCAATCATTAAGAATCTGGTGTCATATTTCACATAGTCATAGCACATAATATTCTGTGGGTCTTTAAAATGAGTGAAATCCTCAAAAACGTCTGGCAGTCGATGAGGTTAAGTACATCATATCAAGATTAGGTACCTCACTTTAAAACCAATGTAACTAATGTAACTAATATGATCCATTTAACTAGTTCCTCGTTCTCAAAACAGTTGGCCTCTGTCACATCTTTAGATCCTTTTTTTTTTTTTGAAAGATAAGTTAAAAAGAGAGAAGCACCCTCACTCTTGAGTCCAAAATGTCTATTAGTGACTCACAGGGCTCTTTCTTCTTCTTCTTCTTCTTCAAGTATGCAAAATATATCATGTTTTCTATTAAGATACAGATTACATGTTGTGGTTGGATTTGTTCACAACATTGTGCTTAAAAACATTTTTATTTATTTTTATTTATTTTTTTGGACAAAGTAAATATGTTATCTATGAAACAAAAAGTTAGGTAACCCAGCTTTAAATCTGATCAAAAATACCATTCATACCACAAACAAAACAAACAGTTCAAACCGTCTACTTCTAACACAAGCTTTCACATGTCTGTAGTTTTGGCCTCTGTCACATGTTTAGATCAGCTTTTCCAGACACAACATTTAAAATGCGAAGACAACCTTCACTTTCAGAACCAAAACCAGCTTGAAGATATGTGTGATCTGATTTTTGTAAACATTGTCCGTTTGAAAATATCCGAAAATCCCCAAATTTGTATGAAAAGCCATTGTATTTATTTTCAGTATTGTCTGGTTTGTGCAACTATTTGTAAAAAATGCAGAATCAGTTTCTTGGCTGACTCCTGAAGAAGCATTGTTTACAGTATCACCTCTGGTCACGCACCACCCACACACACCCACACGCTGCCACAAACTAAAATAACTACATATTTACCCTGCTCCTCCAGAATTCCTCCACCTTACCACAAAACGAACGCTGGGAATGTTTGATGCCGATGATGTACCGCTGTATGTTTTGCTTAAGTATAATGAGAGGCGCCATTCATTAAATGTTTTAAACGTGAGTAAAAAAAAAACACATGTGATCTTGCTTCATTTTTAGTGTTGTTGCTGCGTGTGTCTTGCCATTTGAAAAAAAAAAAAACACATTCTGGAGACAACAGCATCTCCATGGAAACAGGTGGTCTTCACATGTGCAGTAGATGTGAAATTAAATATATCAAATCAAATGTGCAGACTATTCACGTGTTATTGCTCAGATGCTAAATGTAAAGCTCTATTGTTTTCTATGCGCTGGTTGCGTTGTCACTTGTCTGTCTTTGCCCGCACTGGACAGATGGACGCAGGATTATCTGTGTGATTTTAGGCAAAGATTATAGTCGGAGCAGATGCACTCGGTGGGAGAGGAGGAGAGCAGGGACCAGAGGGAGGGAGCAGTATTGTGCTCTGTGCGACGGCTTCTATGTGTCGTGTGAAGATCTGGTAAATCTAAAGTGTAAAAACAGAACTATTTATCACATTTGGTTCAATTCAAAATACGGCAAAAGTATTTGTCTTAAATATCGATAATTGCATAAAATCAACTGGTAAAAGTAAAAATATTGAACCTTGCCTATGTGTTCAAAGTCAAATTGCAGAACCAGGACTGAGGCTGTAGATCCAAGACTGAAGAGGCCCCCAGGCTGTAGGGGTGCATCCCGTGAGTCCGGGCCGGGGTGGACAAGTCAAAGTACATAGTTGTCATAAGTAATTCAGTACTGCAGCCATTTTTTGCGTTTAAAGGTCCTATATTTTGCTTTTCTTCATTTTCCCAGTCTATGCTAAGCACATGTGGGATAATAATTTGGGTGATACACCATAACACTCAAGACAACTAACCCTAACCCCATTCTTGATTAAATTGGTGAATTCACCTCTATGCAAAAGTCAAAAAGCGAAATAAGACCCCCTTTTCCCAGGTCTGTATTATAATTTAGATTTTGGTTGGGCCTTGTTAGACTGACTTACTTAATTGGCAGGAGAACTATTTAGATCTATTTAATACTGGTGTAGACATTTGGCAGAACAATGTTGGTAAATTATTTAGAATTTTAATCTTTACAGAAAAAGAAAAAAAATGGAGTTGTTTTGTTCCAGTGGCCTGTAATAAATCTAGTATTATTCATATATCATGTTTAACACCAGTGATGTTAAAACTGCTGACATGTGGCAAAAGATCTCATTCTGAAATCTGCCAACTCACATTTTAAAAAACAAAATACAATTATCTTGTGGCCTTAGATATATAGATAGATAGATACTTTATTGATCCCCGTAGGAGAAATTCAGATGTCCAGTAGCAGCAAAAATAAAAATAAAATTGATAATTCTAAAAACATAATAATAGTAATAATCAGCAACAGCCCTTCAGGTCACAGCAGCAGAGGTGGAGTAGCCTCTGGGTGGAGCAGGACAGGTCACAGCAGCAGAGGTGGAGTAGCCTCTGGGTGGAGCAGGACAGGTCACAGCAGCAGAGGTGGAGTAGCCGCTGGGTGGAGCAGGACTGGACACAGCAGCAGAGGTGGAGTAGCCGCTGGGTGGAGCAGGACAGGTCACAGCAGCAGAGGTGGAGTAGCCTCTGGGTGGAGCAGGACAGGTCACAGCAGCAGAGGTGGAGTAGCCTCTGGGTGGAGCAGGACAGGTCACAGCAGCAGAGGTGGAGTAGCCTCTGGGTGGAGCAGGACTGGACACAGCAGCAGAGGTGGAGTAGCCGCTGGGTGGAGCAGGACTGGACACAGCAGCAGAGGTGGAGTAGCCTCTGGGTGGAGCAGGACAGGTCACAGCAGCAGAGGTGGAGTAGCCGCTGGGTGGAGCAGGACTGGTCACAGCAGCAGAGGTGGAGTAGTCTCTGGGTGGAGCAGGACAGGTCACAGCAGCAGAGGTGGAGTAGCCTCTGGGAATACCCGCTTGGTTCAGACCATTTTCTCTGCTCTAGTCCAAAGTAAAATGCTAAATGCTTTGTTGGCATTTTTCAAAATGTTAGCTTTCCTCCAGTGGATTTTCACCGGATCCACTTGGTTCGGACCATGAAACCTCTCTGCTCCGGTCTGGACCAGTGCAAAACCATGAACACTGTACTGCACCAACATCTCAGGCAGAAAAAAGCAATAAAAATAAAAATTGATTAAGCACAAAACAACAACTGTTTTAGAGCTACTTAGGACTTGCAGCCGTTTCCAGGCGCAGCGTTCAAAAAAATAAAAATAAAGTGCTTGTATTACAATGTTCCAACATTAACTTTATGCATTATTTTATTGTTATTATCATTATTAATATTAGTATTATGCGACACAGTGTTGCAGCGGTTGGACCATAGACTGTAGTTGTACACAACAAGAAGGTTCTATGTTTGAGTCCACCTCCAGGCCTTTTTGTGTGCGTTTTGCATGTTCTCCCCATGTCCGTGTAGGTTTCCTCCGGGTGCTGCGGTTTCCCCAACCACTAAAAACATACAAAAGGAATTCATACAATGAGTGGGTGTCATTGTCATTTTGCTTCTGTCCTCATCAACACCAAACCTTCACTGATCCTTCTGCAGGTGGTGAGTCCACAGGAGGATGGCTGCTCCGTCGGTGAGAGCATAGTAGTGTCTTGCCCAAGGACACAACGACAGCAGAGAGTGGTAGTATATAGGTCTCATGGTGGGATCAAAGGCCAATGCTCTACCGACTGAGCCACTGTCGCCCCATTTGTCGAGTGAATGGAAATTACTAATACACCAAACTTGTAAAGTACTTTGTGTGACCTTGGTCGATGAAATGCAGTAGATAAAGATTACTTACTTATCACTACATTATTATGATATGGGTTAACTACAAGCTGGGTCAAAGAAATGTCAAAGATAATAACAGAGTAATAACTACAAAATGACATAATGCACTATCTAAAGCATTTAAATAGAAGAAATATTGTTAATTTATTTAAACAAAATATTTACAGCAGACAATTTATTTTAAATGTAATAATAATGGCCACTAGAGGGCAGGAAGAACACACTTTCAGAGAGGCAGATAAAGTGTGATCTCTACTTTTTTTTTCATCACTCTTTCGCACTTCCAAAGTCGAATTTAGTCTTCAACCTTGTCCTCAAATTAAACCGAAGAATATGGATTTATTTTGTAATCAGACAAAATCAGTGCCATTGAGTACACGTAAGTGCATGTGATGGAAATAAGAAGTAATAATGTATTTATACGGAAGTAAAACAAAAAAATTCAAAAAGTATATCTAAAGATTTACGATGGCAAAACTACAAGGAAATCATTAGACTGAAAAGTGACTTTGAAAAACTGCCAACTATTCTGTACTTCACTTACTCTCCTACTACTGCTATAATCTTTCTGCAAAATCTTGTATTTATTATTATTCATAGTAATATCAGTATTGTTATTATTTTAATAGTATTTATATTTTGACCTTATAATCGTGCAGTATCGTGAGGTATTTGTTTGTACTATGTTTGCATTAATAATAATAATAATAATAATGATAATAATAATAATAATTAAATAAAATAATCAATTAGAAAAAAATAACAAACTACTAACCACTAATGAACTCAGAGACATGCCAGACCATAGACTGTAAATATTAATGCCAGACATGCCCCCATGATGTCATGAGTGAAAATCAATGCAGCCAGTTTTCAGTTTAGTTTGGCAGAATTATTTTTACATTGAGAGAGACCCATCAGACATTAATGTAGTTTTCAAACTGGCCAAATGTTTTGCTCTTAAAAGGTGTGGACCAGAGACTGGGCTCGGTCACTGAGAGAAAGAACTTTACATGTTCTGGATGGCGATTGGACAGTTCTGAGAATAAAGGGGGGATCACAGTTGTACTCCACAGTGATTGGATAATGCAGTTGTCTGTCAGTTGTAGACTGGTTCTGATTGGCTGAGCGGAGGATTATGTCACCGTTTGCCTCAATGAACCGCAGCGGACAGTGAAGCGGTACGAATTTAGCAATAATATATCACTAACTTTTAATCCAGGTATTTTGGTCAATTATAATCCCAACTGCGCACGGAATCAAAGGCTTTCATATCCAGGAAAGACATATTCAGCATTTTTACCAGCAGAATCCACAGGGAAACTGGTGAATGCTAACGTAATGTAGCAGCTATTCTCATTTCTCAAGTTTTTATTTTTTACTTGTCGAACTTTGAGGTAGGAATAACACCCTTTATACATAATATTAAAGGTTTTATGGAGGCGTAGACAAAGTGGTGATAGATGGTTGAGCTGTTCCTGAGTCTGGGTCACTGTCTGTGATTGAGTTATGATTTAAGAAATAGATATTGTACTTTTTATCCATCTTTTTGGCACATTTTGTATAAAGTTTGACGGTAAAGTTCCCTTCTCATTAGTTTCATTTGGATTGCATGTCTGAGCAATCCTGTAATGTCATTTAAGGCTTAGACAGACAGACAGATTCACCTCTTACCTACCCCTGCCTATTGCCTGTCATTACTAGTAATCACACATTTATCTGGCTAATCTTATATTTCAAGTTGTTTATTGATTGATTTTTTTGTTAATTCATTTGAGCAGAAGTTTTACATTCATAAGTATTTACAATCTTTACATTCATTAGTTTACATGCCCTTCTGTATACTGTATGTTGCCTTCTGTGCTTACAGTATTGTTACACATATGCAAATATATAAGTGTAAATATATCAATCAATAAAAAAAAAATCTATAGCACAGTTCATACAGAATGCAACCCAAAGTGCTTCACATCGACAACATTTGAAAGCAATATACAAATAAGCAACAATATTTGCCCTAGTTTCACCCTTTGTTGAACATTTACAATATCAATACGTATCTACAAATTAATTTCAATTTGTCAGATTGAAAGGGACTTGGAAAGAAGTTAAGTTAAATTGTTTTTGTTTATTTAAACGGTATAGTGCACACTATTTCAACACGTGTCCATGTAAATATGCCAGATTTAGCCATGAAGGCTAGTTTCCATCTGGTCCCATGGCAGGTTGATGTTAAAGTCTTCAGCAGAGTAAGTTATGAAAAGCCGCATACAGACATAAAATGCAGAAGTTTGTGAAAGGTCAGTACAGGACATAAACACTACATCTATCGATTATTAGTTTATATAAATGTGTACACCAGTCCCTTTCCAGACTTTTTCACAGAGCAGATAAAACAGTGCTGTGACAAGGCAGGAATCAGGAAATTGAGAATTAATCCACTTTTGATAGATATTTTGACATACAGGAGACTACATGTAAAACGGTGTGTGTGACAGTGTGGTATTGCTTCATTCTAAAGATCCCTAAACGTAATTTTCTACTAGTTTAATACACTAAACTACTTTAGTTTATGTGGTTGGGGCATTACATGTTATGAACACATCACTCCGGATTGTAACCTTGGGCTGATTTCCGTCCGTCATCCCACAGTCACACTCACAATCACAAGGAACTATTTAACATATTTTTAGTGGTAGGGGAAACCGGAGCACCCGGAGGAAACCTACGCATACACAGGGAGAACATGTAAACTCCACTCAGAAAGGCACTGTTCAGACCGGGATTTGGATTATTTTTCTTTGTCTGCAGGTATGACTGAGTACAAGCTGGTGGTGGTGGGAGCAGGCGGTGTGGGGAAGAGTGCCCTCACCATACAGCTCATCCAGAATCATTTTGTGGACGAGTACGATCCAACCATAGAGGTGAGAAAGTCTTACGTTCAGGATTTCTCTCAGATTAACAATGAGATTTGATTTGCAGTATGTATATTTGACTAGGATAGCACTCAAAGTTTACGTTCATAATTCAGGACGGAATATAGTGAAGTAAGTTATGATCTACTAACTTGTTGTTTGACCCATGTTTTATTTATGAAACAAAAATAGAAGGAGTCTCAAAAATAAAATGGCACTAAACGAAGCAGACCACGGCATGCGGTCTTCTTATCAGAAAACATTTATCGTTTGTTTGCATTTATTGTATGTAAACCACCAATAATTCAATATTGTTTGACCGAATCCATCTAATCCTTCCTCTCAAAACAGCTTATCAGTAGTTTTCACATGCATTTTGGAGTCTTAAGATCAGCTTTTTCAGAGAGAAACACATGTCTAGCATCTCAACAGAAAGTCTTGTAAAAGTCAAATGTGTCCAAATTAGAACAACATTCAGCAGTCTTTATCTTGTTATCTTTTGCATACCTGTAAGAAAGTGCTCAGCCTCAGAGGGTGCTTTGGGCTTTGAGCTGATGAGCTGAGGAAGAGTGGTCCTTTCTTCATTTTTCTGTCTAAAAAAAGCTGATCTAAAAACGTGATCGAGAAAAAGACACGCATGTGAAAACCAGTGATAGATCACATATCACATCAGTGATAGAAGCGTTTAGAAAAAGGATTGCAAATATGATTATAATGTCCTCTCCTAAAGGCAACTTCCGGGTTTGGACTGTGAAATAGTGGTAGTATTTTGTCACAAGTTTTGAGTTTGTGTGCGTGTGTGTGTGTGTGTGTGTGTGTATCGTAGGACTCTTACAGAAAGCAGGTGGTGATCGATGGAGAGACGTGTTTGCTGGACATCCTGGACACGGCAGGTCAGGAAGAGTACAGTGCAATGAGAGACCAGTACATGAGGACGGGGGAAGGCTTCCTCTGCGTGTTTGCCATCAACAACACCAAGTCCTTTGAAGATGTGCACCTCTATCGGTAAGATACAAGCATAATATGGGCCAAACTCACATTTTTATAGTTAATTTAAAAGGTACACTGTAGTTTTTACTCCCATCTGGCATTGAGATCATACATTGTAATTTACGGTACTACGGTGGCTTCGCAGAACAATATGTCGTCTTTGACAGAGGTCGCCAACTCCCGCTTAACTCCTTTTTGTCCCTCATCAACCGCTGTATTTCAAGATGGCGCAATTACATGTAGAGTCCTCCAGCCTCATGGACATTTATAAGTCAAATTCGAAGCCTATGACAACAATTAAAAAACATGGTGGAGGTAAATATTCTTAAAAAAGTCACATTTGTTATTGGTTTACATGTTTTTTTCATTTGGAGCAACTGCAAAACTTACACAGAGTACCTTTAAGAAAATATCTTTTTTAATAGAAAGTAATAATACCTGTAACCTGTAATAAATAACCCGCAATACACAAAATCCACAGTGACAGCCATGTTTTTAAGGCTGAAAAACTCCTCACCACACACTTTATACACTTTTCTAACCACGTGAACTCATGACTGCTGAAGATATCAAACCTGTTTGTTGTAGGTCCGAGCAGGTCAAAATCTGTGTTTATACAAATATGTCTGAAGTACACCAAAAACGCCTTACAATGATCCCACTTGACTTTAGGGCGATGGATAACTTTAATACCATACTTATTGGACGCCTTCCGGGCAACGCAATGACCTGACATCTCTCAATAGACTGAAAACTCATGTTTGACCAGTTTGCATTCTCTTTGAATAATCTCACTGAACTTTGCGTGTTTCTCCCCAGAGAGCAAATCAACAGAGTGAAAGACAGCGACAGTGTCCCCATGGTGCTGGTGGGAAACAAGAGTGACCTGAACACACGCACAGTGGAGTCCAGACAGGCGCAGGAGCTGGCCCGGAGCTACAGCGTCCCGTTTGTGGAGACCTCGGCTAAAACCAGACAGGTGGGCCGGACTCAGTCCCTGTTATTACTGTTTATGTGTTAGGGGGGGGGGTGTTCTGGTTGTTACATTTTACAACAACTTGACACATTTCTCTGACATCTTTTGTTTTGGCAGGGGGTTGAGGAGGCCTTTTATTCACTTGTGCGTGAGATAAGAAAATACAAAGAAACCAAGCGCAGCAGCAAAAAGAGCAAAAAGAGCAACCAGAGACGATGCACCATTCTATAGCAGCCGACCTGGAACTGTCCGCTTTCCTGCCAGATCCACTACACCTTCTCCAACTTTTGCACATTCAAAAACTGCTCCAGACGTTTCTGACCAAATCCACTTGCATGTCACGCCCACGGACCTAATGAGTTCCATATTTGTAACTGTAATTTGTGTTGTTTTAGCCAAACGTTCTTTTTTAGACTTTTTTAAAAAGATGTATTTTTATTACAGAACTTGCTGGACTCTTAAGTGCACCTGTACAGTATATAAACAGCATACGCTGAAATTAAAAGTACATTTTGCCCACATTTCCATGATAACAGTTGGAGCAAATCAAAGTCAATGGACTGGATTTGATCACGAGTCAGTGTCAAACAGTGTCCAGTTAAAACTATTTTTACAATTATTCCGGTCTCAGTCCCACCTAAACTCAGGTCAAAGTAAAAGTCACATGAGTCCATTGTATTTCCCTGCACCTCATGCCTCTGCTGTTCTCACTGAAGCAGGAGTTAGTGCTGTCGACAGGCGACAGAGCTGTGTCCAAATACCTTCCTGTTTCATTCGACGGCACCAATAAAAAAAATACATCGGCCAGAGATCACAGAAATTTAAGAAAGTAGCAGCTTTTCATCCAGCAAGTTCTGTAGTTAGTTTCCCCTACCTTGAAGTTGTGGACTTGATTTTATTTTTGAAAACTGTAATTGTTAAAAAGGGACATGGACCAAACTTATGTAGCCAAAGATAAATAGTTTAAGAAGTTCTATTTTAAGTCAGTCCTAGTATGTTTTTGTATGATTCCAAATGGACACTTCAGTGTCAATGCTTTGAACAACAGTACCATTTCACTGTAGAATGTTTAAATTCTTTGATAATAAAGAGTTTTTACAAAATGGTGGGATTTTGTGAAGGGAATAACCAGGATCATTCTTTTCCACTTTATTTTACAAAAAGTATTCTTTGACCTTGTGTTTAACAGTACAAATATAAAATGAGTACAAAACATATCCAGCTCAGTCACATTCACAGTCGGCACACTAGAGCGTCACCAGCCGAAGCGAGACACCAGTTTGCTCTGGTCGTCCAGGTCGAACTGGACCTTTTTCCGCATGTAGAAAATGGGGCAGTCACGGCTGGAAAATGGGGAATGAAAAAAGGCGTGATGACTGTACTGTATGACAGGACTGTAGTGTCAGAACACAACCTTAAAGACCACATTAAATACCTGGTACACAACACGTCCTCGTGCAGCGAGCCCTGACATCGCTGACACTGCGTCCACAGGCGGGAGAAGCGCTCCTCCAGCGTGTTTAGATGATAAATCTGAAAGAACAATTAAATGTTTCCAACAATGAAGCTTGACAAGATCGCCCGTTTGTGTGTCCTCTCTGGAGATACATTCTACATTCATGTTTAATTTACCAGAAATGCTATCCTTTTGGAAAACCTATGATTAGTCACTTGAGCGTCATAAAGCGTTGGATCCAACAGCACTCACCTCCTTCTGGTAAAGTTCAGACTCCTTTCTCTTGCAGAAATCGCACACAGCCGCTGCAATGACACATGTGTTTTCACAACAACAGTTACACACAGATGTTACACAACTCTTAAAGTACACACCATCCGTTTTGAGCACCGCTTTGCAGCCGATGCAGGTGCTCCTCTTCTGGGCAAACGCCATGAGGCCTCCCACCTTTGAGGTCAGCACGGTTTTGCAGCGCGTGTGGTCGCCCTCTGCCACACAAAATGCACTTATAGTTTTCATTCACAGTGTGTTTTAATTTGTGGAAAATGTTTGAACTCTTACTGAGCAGGACACTCTCAGCTTTGGTCTCTCCTAAAATAGGCTCGAATATTCTCAGCAGGGGCTTGGACAGCTGCTGCTCCAGGTAGTACTGCGTGTCGATGGGGATGTTGTTTTCCAGCACATAAATAGGATCCTTACAGAAAAACAAATTTTAATTGCTGTAATATTTTATACCGAAATGTTATTCAAAATCTATGCAGCATTGAAGCATAAACTGTACCTCTGATTTTGTGTATGCTGCTGCTCCTTTTGCAGCTTTAATGATGACGTAAGGCACTCGGTCTCCTAAATTAGGGGCACTTCCTGCATCTCTTTTTCTCATTCTGGAAAAAAGAGTTAGTGCTGTCAAACTTAACATGTTACAATGAAACAAAACTAATTGTTGCATTAATACTGGTTAAGGGCTCAGTTGGTAGGGCATTGGGCCTGAAGGTTGTGGGTTCGAGCCCACCACAAGACCTACTGAACAACTCCCTCTAATGTTTGCTGTTGTTGTGTCCTTAAGCAAGACACTTAACCCCACTTTGCCTGAAGGCCCCGCTGAGAGATCAAAGCTGTGCCACCTACAGAGCAGCCTCCTCCTGTGGACTCACCGCCTGCAGGAGGATCAGTGAGGGGCTGGTGCTCTGAATTGGGTGCAGCTCTGACTGCCACCCCCCGATCCAGAAATGGATTAAGGGGAAGAAGATGGATGGATAATACTGGTTTAATCATATATCAAACCCGTGGTCTGTGGCCTCCCAATATTCTGCCAATATTCCTGAACGTTTAGAAATTGGCTTCCCCGAGCTGTGACATCACAACAGTTCAGACCATAATCAGCCTGTCGTCCAAGAGGAAAATAAAAGATTGCCTTTTTCAGGCACCAGAAAAGTCAAACATCCTGAAATACAGAAAAAATGTCACTGAGACATAAATGATCATTTATAATAATTCAGAATTTCTCACATTTTGTATTGCATTTAATTGTGATTTTTGTGTGCGAGTATTTAATCTTATTTTCTTTTTAGGGCTGTCAAATGATTCAGTGTAAAAAAAACTAATTAAATGTGAAACTAAAGCGGAACCTACCGTACAGTGCATGAGAAGAACACTGTTAAAAAAACTGCAAACAAAAAATCTGAGGCCGCAAAAAGGTGAACTGAGTTATAGTGGGGGATCTATAATAAAAGTAGCAAAAACGTGCCTTCAGAAGAGAAAACAAGATCTCAATATCACAAAATGGCTGGATCTGGGTGGTGGATACAGGAAATATGTCCATTCTCCAGCCCCTGATCCAAACGGCCCTCACCGCTCTGCCAGCTCCACATGGGCCTGTTTGCCTGCGTACTCCTGGGCCGTTCGGGTCAGCTCCTTCGTGATCACCAGCTGGCTGATGTCAATGCGGTTACACAACAGGTCCGAGATTATTTCTTTGGCATGGTCTACAGCTCCCTGCGGGTCTCTATGATGAGAAAATGAAATGATATTACACCCAAAATTGTATGGACAAAACAAAACCAAAAAAACACTCACCTCTCGATTAGGATTTTCTGGAGGCACGTGTTGATAAGATTGGCCACTAGGGGGCAGTTGTCTCTCCGTACAGTCTCAATCCCCTTACAGTCCATCTTCTCGTGAGTGTCCGCGCTGGAGGAGAAGTACAGACCTGCGTAGCGCTTCTTGTTGATGAGCAAATACGGAAAGTAGACCTGAAGGGAACAGGGGCGCCGTTAGCAACCATGCAATGTAATGCTGTAATACTGAAACATAGAGTGCTTTAAAGATGAGGTTTATAACGTTAGAATTTAACGTTAAATTGTCAAATTGGCTATAATCTATAATTGTACGCCACTATGTAAACGAAATAAGGTTATTTTGAGCATGGATCCAGTCATATTGATCAAGAACCGATCTGGAGTCGTTCTTAGACAGGAACTTGACAGAAGACACAGGATCTCAGTCCTTACTTTAGTGGACACAATGACATCACACTCAAAGCAGTCTGCAGCATTTATAAAAAACGCATTTCCCATAAATTGCTTTTGGAAATATGTCAGGTGACTTCTATACAAGCATAGGGAATTGTGGAAGTGAAAAGTGGAAAAACGTTTTTACATGTCATACTTGTTTCACCAAATATTATCTTCTTAAGATTGTATTTCACATTCTAAAACATGAAATGACACGGAAAATAGTTTTATTTTTTGTTTATGTCGTTTTAATATGCATCATATTTCTTATTTAAACAATTTGTCATCTTAAAACCTCCACTTATTTCACTACAGGTAAAGAGCGTTGTCTCGCTGTTTAACATTGAATACGAACACGTATCTAACAGTTGACCACTCCAGAGCTCTCCATTTTCTATCGGCCGCTGCCTTTCATCTGAATCCATCTGCAGATTATTGTACCTTTTCAAACTCCAGTTTGATCGGCTCAGTGAAATGTGACGACACCCACTCAGCTGCCTCCTTTCCAATTTCCATGGCCTCCCTCACCGTGGCAACGCCGAGCTTAACCATAACCGAATCCGTGTCTCCATAAATGACCTTAGAAGAAGCATGTGTACAAATGTGCTTATGATGCAGTTATATTTAAAAATACAAACAATCCATAGTGTAGGTACAGTATAAGATAAGAAACAGAATATGGAGTACGTTGACAAAACGACTATATGTCAAAACGCTTTTGGTCTTGTCTCCCTGCACCAGCAGAATGAGCCTTAACTTAACTCTCAAACTTTGGAGCAGTAATTGTAAATATGATAGCTTTCATATGAGGTCCACAAGCATTTGCACACCCTGCAGTCCAAGTTCTCCCACTGAAAGGGACATCATTACTGTATTTCCACTGTTAGAGACTTAATCTAAAAAGAAATCTGGAAATTACATTCTATGATATCTTTTTTATGTGCATACTTACTGTATACAGTATAATGGGGCGTTCAGACTAGATCATGCGAAGGAGTTCTCATTCTCTAGTGACTGTAAACAAGTGCTGCTAACGTGTTCGACGATGCAGAAGTACTGTTTAATAATAAAATAATAATAAAATGAACACATGGTGCACTTCTGTGAACACATACTGATGATATATAAAGTCTCTGGAAGGTTTCTGGACACAGAACTTTACACAAAATGCCACTATGTTAAACTACGTTAGCATCAAAGTCTGCCCCCCACTTCCGTCCTGCATTTTTGTCAAGACTACTGGTCTAAACGCCCCTAGCGTCTGAAATTCAGAGAATGTGCCTCCAGTTTCCGTGGAATCTGCGTTCAACCGTCTACACCCCATTAGCAAACTTGTTGCATATTGTTTACTTCAAGCATTTGATTTCATGCAGACTGTATTCTTAATAAAGAAGTATAAAATGTATTGTATAATGTTCAAGATCGAGATTTTATACTTTGTCCTCTGATGCTAAAGTTAGAAATTGTTTTATTTTAATTGGTATAGTTATTGTTTCCTACTGTTCTGTAACTTGTGATGCAACACGGAAATGTCCCCGCTGTGGGACGAATGAAGGATCTCTTCATCTTAACACACAAAATGAGTGAGAACCTGTACATGCCTCTAAACACAAACAAGGCCTCTCCCTGTGCTCTTAAATGTATCTGTTGGCCTTGTCTTAGTAGTATCTGTAAAATGGTAGGATCCCTGAATGGACTGTCTCAATAAAATGAAATTTGGTTTTCACTAGTGCCTTGTAAACCTACTCCTGAGAACCAGAACCAAAATCTAACCTTGGCATCGGCCTGGTGCCCGTTGGCGATGGTGTAGCGAGACTCGACGAGCTGTTTGGTTTGCTCTATCATCTGCCGTCCGAATCCAGTCACGCTCTGAGAAATGAGCAAAGCAGCATCGTGAGTCTAAATGGCTGAATAAAGACATGGACTTGATTTTCTTCACTTCTGCGTCACCTGGGAGATTTCCAGACAGGGCAGTTTTCCCACTTGAGCGCCGGTGAAGCCGTACACAGAGTTGGCACTGATTTTGAGAGCCAGCTGTCGGCCGTCCAACACTTGTTTCTTGAACGGGTCCGTTTCTTTCTTCAGTTCCGTCTTTGCTCTGCAGACGTAGTGAAAATGATGTTGGTGACAGAAAATTTGCAAGCCATGTTTTATTTTCCAACTTTCTGACACAAGAGCAGACTAAAAACTTTCTTTTTCGATTGTCCTTAAATCAAGCACATTGGGTCAGGTGTTGTAGCTACGATGTATGCGCTATATCAATACATTTGCTTTCCTTGCTTACTTCTTCCTGGCAGACAGCAGGTTCTCCAGGATTTCAGGGAGTAGACCCTTCCTCACAGAGCTCTTCACAAACTGGTCCCCAGTCGGAGTCTTGATGAAGTCGTCCGATGAAAGTCTAAACAATTATAGTCATTATAAGTGTACATATTATACTTTCAACACTTTCATTTCTCCATATAGATCAGATACATTTCTTTTATTTGTTTTTACTTGACAGCGTAACAGTACTTTTACTTGAATAAGAGGTTTGGATGGTTCACTCTTAAGAGAAATTCTATGTGACTGAATGTTTTAATATAGTCAACACAAAGCACAAATAACAATATTATCATAAAGAAAATCCAATTAAATAATTATCCATTGTAAGTTTTGGCCTGTCAACAATTAATTACTGTGAAAGTGGTGGCATCTCCCTTTTTCACTTGCACAGGCTATTTTCACCCATGTTAGATTGTGAGAATACTTTTGTGGTAAATAACGTACCCCAGTTTCTCTGCGGAGCCTCTCTGCAGCAGCGTCGTGTAGCACAGGTTGTGAGCCATCATAATGGATGGGTACAGGGAGGAGAAATCCAGCGTGGCGATGGGAAGGCTGTAGTATCTGCCAAGTAAGTAAGTAAGTAAGTAATATTTATTTATATAGCACCTTTCACAGACAAAGGTCACAAAGTGCTTCACAAAAATACAAATATAAATAAAAGTACATTTACATTTACAATCACAAAACATGGTGGTCATAAAACAACCCCTTTCCCACTGGAATTAAAATGCTTTTTCAAACAAGTAAGTTTTCAGTCTACACTTAAAAACATCAACACAATCAAGTAAGCGCAGGGAAAGCGGAAGATCATTCCAGAGCGTCGGCGCGACCACCTGGAAGGAGCGATCTCCTCTCGTCTTGTAACGGGTACGAGGGACCATGAGAAGGTTCTGATCCTGAGACCTCAGCCTCCGAGAGGGGGTATAAGGACACAACAAGTCTCTAATGTAAGAGGGACCCTGACCATGCAAGGCTCTGAAGGTCAACACCAGGATTTTAAAATTGAAACGAAAAGTGACTGGGAGCCAATGGAGGGCTTTTAGAATGGGAGTAATATGAGCCCGTCTGTTTGTGCGAGTCAGTAACCTTGCCGCAGAGTTTTGTACCTGCTGAAGGCGGGACAACTCCTTTTTGTTTAGACAAGAAAATAAACTGTTACAATAATCTAAACGGGAAGACACAAAGGCGTGGATAATCATTTCAAGGTCATCCCTTGGCACAATTGCTCTAAGTTTGGAGATTTTTCTCAGTTGGTAAAAACAGTTCCTTGTCAGCAGTTTTGAGTGATGCTCTAAGGACATTGCTTTGTCAAAGTTAACGCCTAGATTTCTGAGGCTTGCTTTAGTAGACAAACTCAGATCGCCCAAATACTGGTGAATCCCTGGAATAGCGTCATCAGGGGCAAACACCAGCATCTCCGTTTTGTCTGAATTTAGTTGGAGGGAATTTGCCAACACAAGATAAATATAATATAAATATTATTCATCTAAATACTTAAGTAAGTGAATATGATCCAAATAATCAAAAGTATTTTTATAAACAAATATGTGACACTGTTGAAGATCGAGATGATAAAGAGATATTTATTTTCCATGTGCTTTCTTGATCTTATAGTAAAATGTTCTTTCCTGTTGTGATCATTTTTGAGTGACCCATGTGATGCTGCAGCCACACCTTTTTAAGACTCTTATAATGGAAAAAACCATATGCCTGACGAAGGCCTTTGTGAAATGTGTGTTGCTGCCCTCTGCTGTTTATTCTTTTGTTTACCACATTGGCACCAGAAGGTGGCGCTGTGGCGGGGACTACAGATGGAAAATAGCATGATGCTAAATCTGGTGTCACCATCTTATTAATGTAACTATGTGCTGTCTTTTAAATAAACAAACTTCATTCATTCATTCCTTCATCTGTAAATAATAAAGTACAGTGTGCAAGAGTTATTTTCTTCGTGTTCAAAGTTTCTTTGAAACTTCGCACAAACTGAGCTGAGCCAATTTGTCTTATTGTGCAGTTATTAACGTTTGTTTTTCTGAGCATCTTAATGTCTTATTTCTTGTTCAGTGCACAGCACTAAAACTATCCATGCTTTTACATTGTCAGTTCATGTTGAAAACTAACTGAATAAGAATAATACATAGTTTTCTAAAGACAAAAGCTAGAACATGTGCTAATCAAGGAGAGCACAGACCCTTTCTCTGGCTCGATCACAGTGGCTCCAGTGTAATCCTCGCCCCCCTCGGTCTTCACCACGGGCATGACCAGATCCTGCTTCATTGCCTGTAAAAACAACGTGTTCACAAAGTATTGGTGAAGACTGAAACGCATGTAAACACGTGCAATTTAGGTGTGAAAACCAGTCCACTTTGAGCTGCATGAAAACACGTCGACTGGATTGGAGTGAGACAACGGGAAGAGATTCATTTAAGAGCACAGGAAAAGCCTTGTATTAGAAATGTATGTGAGGGATATTTGATCAATACAGAATCCCTCGAGACACGCGTCTTGTCATTTTGTGACCCAAAAGTCATCGGACCGTGATGACTGCTCTGAATACAGGAGGTTTTGTGTTGTTTTTTTTTTTATGTACTCTTTTGTTTTGTAAAGGCTCAGTCACATTCAAATCTACCGTTTGAATCCCACCAACCTGGCGTAGCAGCTGAGACACCACTTTGATCTGCTGCCCTCTGGAGAGCAGGTAGGACAGCGGGACTCCGGTCACACGGGCCATCTCCATGTAGTTGATGACACACATGAGCTTCTGCAGCAGGCGCAGGGGCAGGTACGCGTCCTTCAGGCAGTAGACCGCCAAGCGGCGCCGCGTTTGCTCGTTGCCGTTCTGGAAAAGAAAAAGTATTTCAAAATATGTTCATAGCATGTCACATTTGTGTGCTTTTTATATTGGCTACCTGTAAGTCCGTAATGATAGAATGTTGCACGTCCTCTTTTTGCTCTTGTAAAAAGTGAAAGCTGACAGCGTTCAGAGTGTACGAGCGAAGTTTGTAGTCCCTGAGCAGAACCTGAAAGTATTCGTATTAGGAGATTATAAAACAAAACACACTCTTGGTAAAGTAAAGGTAAAGATGCTCTTTATTAATCCCCGTAGGGCAATTCATCCTCTGCATTTGACCCATCCTGATCCCAACCATCTCCAGCTGTTGATGCCCGGCTTGGTCAGGACCAGAGCTGGAGGATTTTTACTTATTGTGCATATTTTTAGTGGTAGGGGAAACCGGAGCACCCGGAAAAAACCTATGCAGGCACAGGGAGGACATGCAAACTCAACTCAGAAAGACCCTGTTCTGACCGGAATTCAAACCCAGGAGCTTCTTGCTGAGAAGCGGGAGTGCTAACCACTCAGCCACCGTGCCGCCCATGTAGCAGCCCTTTAATCAAGGGTAGTTTGTATTGAAATCCGCACTGACCATGGTATAGTTGGTTTTCATGTATGTACAGTACATGTGTCAGTTTTATGTTCAGTTTAAACAAAAGAAAGGCATCAAACGGCAAGATATTGGTAATGGGGTTAAAGGCCAGACTTTAGCCCAAATCCTTTCAGGCTGTAAAATACTTCATCTAAGGATAATAAACTGTTTTTGTTTGTTGTTGACCAATGACCAATAATATCTAAATTAAATATATATATTATTTAAAACAGTAAATATTATATTGTACCTGCAGTAGATCAAACTGAACACGCCCCTCCATGTTTACAGTTTTGTTTTCACGTCTTCCCATCTGTTTACTCTGAAAGTTCAGATCTTTGATAACCGACCTGGCGCCTAGCACTCGGCCCAAGTACGGGAACAGGTGGACCTAAAAAACGACATTACATAAACATTAAGAATGGAAAACAAAACATTTAAAATCCACATAAACTCAGATTACCTTCAACGCGGCGGCTCGATTCAACAAATACGGGAAGTCAAAGTTCTGAATGTTGTAGCCAGTGATGATGTCTGGGTCCACCGTGCGCAGAAACTCAGCCCAGCTCTGCAGTGATACAAGTCAGGGGTCAGCAACTGAATGCCTTGGATGTGAAAATATAAAGCTGTGGAGATAGAAAACCTGTAGGAGCTGCTTTTCTTGTGTGAAGCAGAGGATTTGGGAGCCCACGATGCTGGCACAGGACTGCAGGGTGAACACTGTCCGGATGAAGGGCTCCGTCTCGCCCTGACGCTGCACCATGGAGGCGATCTGAATGACTGGGTCCTTCTCTGCTTCTGGGAAGATTCCTAAAAGCAAAAAACAAAAACAAATGAATGGCCAGAAATCCATAAAACATTTTTTTTGTCACAATTACTCACATTAAAAGATGGACACAAATGTTCTATTTTTAATTTTCTTTAAACAGTCAGTATTTCACTGCAAACATCACAATGATATATGCAGCGGTGATAGGACTGACCAACAAATACGTTTTGTATATTTCTGAAGTGAAATGATATTCTCTGCATGCATTTGTCTGTTCACAGCCGAGAAGTTTCAGATTTGGAAAAGGGTAAGACAAATTCAAACTCCTCCCTCTGGTGGTACTATAGGGAATTACAGACAAAAACCATTCATTTTTACCCCTCACACTTTCACCACATATTTTCGACTTTGTCAATTCATCTTTAGAATTTGAAATGATAAAGTAAATTGTCTCTTTATAATATCTAATCACTAAAAAAATTGCACAATTTTTAGTAAAATTCAGGTGCTGAATAAAGCTAAATGTATTCTGGCTCAGCCCAAACATCCTCTGATCGCTGACTTTGTATTGATGCCTCAGGGCGTCGTTTTTATGCTCCAGCACGAAAAACAAACAATTTTTCCAAATCATTTATGCCCTCTGCCATAGAACTGTTGAACGCTGGTAGAGGTGGTTGACTTTTGGAAATTGTGTTGTTCATTGTTGTTTTTGTAACTTATATTGTGTACCCTGCTGCTGTGTGAACTGCGAGACTGTGTGTTTGTGTAGAGTGTGTGTGTTCTGCTTTGAGTTTATGCTGCAAATGAATAGCCTTTTGGGATCAATAAAGTTTTTTGAATCTGAATTTTTTAATTAAAAAGGTCCTACATTGCGCTCTTCTTCATTTTTTCCTAATCACAGGTGGGATAATAATTTGGGTGATACACCACACAACACTCAACATTAGTGAGATTAAAGCCATTTCTTGCATAGAGGTGACGTCACCTCAGTTGAGTTGGCGTGACGTAACACTTTTAATAACTCACAAAAGCAGAAAAAACAGTTTAGCTCCATTGATAAACGCTGGACTCAGGAGAGGCTGTGCGCTGATTCACTGTTTTCATCACCTCCTAGATTTTCTTATTATTACCAGTACAACCACCACCACCACAACCACTGTTATTATTATCATTATTATTGACAGCTTATTTATTGTGTATTGTTTTCCCGGTTTTGACGGCATTATTTTAGAACCACTAAAAATAAAAATAAAAAATAAAATAAAGAGGGCTTCTGCGCGTCATATTTGTAATGTTGAAATTGTCACCGATGTGGACCCATTTTTGTGCCTCTCGACTAGAGAATGAAAAAAAAAAAAAAAGATCTCACTCTAACTGAAGCTTGAGGGAATCGATGGAAAAACAGCTCATGGAGTGAGGGCAAATAGCTCCGCAATCATGTTTGAAGCAGAGAAAAGTCTTAACGTTTTTAGCTGCCAACTTGATTCAGGAAATTTTCATTTTCGCTTTTGCCTGATTGAGAACATGACTGCAGACAACTAGATCCCAGACAAAAAAAACTTGTAGATATGATACGAGCAGATACGTTTGTAAAACAGGTGAACAAACCAATGGCAGAGCCTGCATCCATAAGCTCAAACAAAACCATGAAGTATCATTGTATCATTGTACCTTTTCAGTATAATTGTACCTTTTCAGTATCATTGTACCTTTTCAGTATAATTGTACCTTTTCTTCCTGCGCACTCTATGTCAAAGCTCAGCACTCGGAGCGGTGCGATCCTCTGCCAGTCGCCTTCTGCAGGGTGACTGATCATGTCGTTCCAGCCCACATCCACCTCGTACTGACAGAGGGAGGCCTGGACGAAAGCGAAAGAGAGAACATGGAGAGAACAGGACAGAACCCAGGACAGAACCCAGGACAGAACCCAGGACAGAACCCAGGACAGAACCCAGGACAGAACCCAGGACAGAACACAGGACAGAACACAGGACAGAACACAGGACAGAACACAGGACAGAACACAGGACAGAACACAGGACAGAACACAGGACAGAACACAGGACAGAACACAGGACAGAACACAGGACAGAACACAGGACAGAACACAGGACAGAACACAGGACAGAACACAGGACAGAACACAGGACAGAACCCAGGACAGAACACAGGACAGAACACAGGACAGAACACAGGACAGAACACAGGACAGAACACAGGACAGAACACAGGACAGAACACAGGACAGAACACAGGACAGAACCCAGGACAGAACCCAGGACAGACTGACCTTGCTCGGGAATCGAGATGAATCTCCGCTCTTCTCCTCCCGAACTCTGAACGTGTTTTTGGGCAGCTCGATCCAGCAGCAGCCAACAACGTCACAGTCTACCATAAACCTGCGGCACAAAGCAGACATGGCATTTTTAAAAACTCTGAATAGTAAAAACTTCCCAGAAAGTGACATATTTATACCCATGTTAATCTCTGTGCCAAATTCTAAATGTTTTTGGTTTTTTGTAGTCGTAAGTAAAAAGGTAAATGGAAGCACAATTGGACTAATAGATTAAGAGATCCTTTATTTGGCCCACAGCGGGGAAATTACAGAAAGAAAGGGGGCTTGTCTGACAAGGACGGGATATCGGACAATACTAAAAAAGTCATTAAGTAAATCTGTGCAATAGATTTTTTTTGGTTTATTAAAAAAAAAGTTCCCAAAACGTGAGTAAATGAATAATAATAATGCATTGGTTTTATATAGCGCTTTTTTGGACACTTTTTTTCAAAGACGCTTCCTCCGAGTGAGGTGGTCCTCTCCTTTTCCCTTTTGTATAAACCTAATGATAGAAACAAACTAGCCGAAACTAGAAGAATTGGAGTGTAGCAATAGTCTTTTTTTTTTGGTACCTCAGCTTTGAATATGGAGGCAGCACACAAAGGCAAATATCAGCATTGCTCATGAAATCCACACAATTCCCAATATATAATTTAATAAATATTAAACATTAAACAGTGGACAATACCTAATTTCAAAGTCAATGTTGGCCTCAAAGGACTGGTAACTCTGATGTGGAAAAGGCCCAAACTTAAAGCCCTGTTCCAGGAGTCTCTTTGCCGGGGCGATGAGGCGGGGCATGGCCATGGTAATCTTGAGGAAATCCAGAATACATTTTCCGTGGTAACCATACATGCCTGTAAAAAGGAGAATTATTCTAGGTTTCGAATAATGTTTCCTACTACAACCACCGTTAGTACTCACTCTCTTTACGGGTGATGTCCACAGCCAGAACAGTGACAGAAATGTTGTCCTTATTGGAGCGCATGTCTTTGAGCACCACAGAGTTCAATTCTCTCTGGAATTCACCCAAGAAATCAGATTTGAATCCTTTAGACAAAAGAATAACAAGTTAACAATGAGAAGTGTCTGGATAGATGTGTTTTATACATACATAAAAGATTAGGGCATATTTTTAATACATACGTTTAATGTGATTTTAACCAAATGAGGCGTTTTATTATGAAAGTTCATTTGGACTGAAACAAACCAAACTTATTTAGTGCTTCTTTCAGGCACGTAGTACAGTGTTACTACACAAGTGCTGTTGTGCAGTAGCGTAGACTAATTTATGGGTTGTTGTTTTGACCAGTAGGCTGCACTAGACTAATAATTTAACCTTATATAAACATAATTCTGCAAAAATAAAATAAATTAAAAAAAATCTGCCAATGCAGATGTATCGTTATTGGCACCAGTCTAGACCAATAATCGTTCGACCAGTGATGGGCAAGCTCCTTGATTTGTGCAGTGAGCAAAGCTACAAGTTACTCTACGATAAGTTCAGCTTCACTGAACAGAAGCTCCCACCCATACAAATGTAGCAAAGTTACAGAATCCTGTCAAAAGTAGCTTGATAAAGCTACTTTCAATTAAACAAAATGCAATTTTAGGCATCTATAAAACTGTCAGTCAGATAAAGGCAAAAATATGTTTAGATATTTATTGAACAATGGCCCAACATTTATGTTTCAGGTTGAAATTGTCATTATTATTAAAAGGCGTTTGTTGTTTTCAGAAGCTGCAATGATTGAATTTGAAGATGCTACTGAGCTACTCACAGTAAATAAAGAAGCTTAGCTACAGAAAAGTTACTTGGTTTTGTAAATAGCGACGCTACTGTCAAACTACTGAAACATTTAGTTAAGCTAGTAGCACCGCTACTGCCCATCACTGCGTTTGACCCATATCCAAGATACAGGAGACGTGTTCTGAGGACTCACCCGCAGGAGCAGCCACATAGAAGTACGGAGCAAAGCCGTGGATGTGACAGCACACACTATTCCCACTGTCGGTCACCCCAAACATACGGATGATGGGCACTTTCCCCTGCGTCTGGCCCGGCATGCCTGGAACTGCTGCATCTGTAAAACATATGATTATAGACCTTACAATACTTGAACCCTTGAAACCTTTTAAAAGATAAAACAAATAAACGACAGTCACCTAAATAATAGTCCAGATCAATTTGTTGGAATATCAAAGTGTCCACAGCAGGGTTCAGGGTCGGAGCAGGCGGCCGTCGCCAGCGAGGATTCAGGTCGGCTGAGAACAACTCGCCTGATGAAGATGTGAAAAATAAGTTGTTTATACGACTCAGACACAATTGAAATTGAGCTTATGAACAGAATACAACGTGAAATAATACATGGAAAATGCAAGTCCATGTTTAGTCAGTTGTGTAATTCTACTCCATTTTTAAGCTGGGGTATTTAACTTTTCTGTTTCATTACTAATACAACAAGCCGTTTATATCTTAATAGAATGCCTTTTATCGTTTACATAAGTAACAGCCCTGTGATCTCACATGACAAAGGCCAAAATATATATGCATGTGAAATACAGAGATAGTTCCAACTGTTTTTTTTACGTAGTGCCATGGTTAAAGTTACACACCCGGGCTAGTGCAATTACATAGTTAAAATGTATTCAATGGCAAAAGAAACATACTGCTACTAAATCTACCATTTAGCAAAAGTGAAGAGCAAATGAAAAATATTACTCAAAAAGTGAAGAATGGGTCACAATTCTAAAATCTTAAAAAATAAAATGAAGGGTATAAAGGTGATGGCATGTACTGACCCACAGGAATGACATCGTGTCCAGCCTGTCCCTCCATGTCTTCCATGTCCATCTCTGCATCATCAAACATGGACAGCTCCTCTTCAAAGTGTGATGGACTGTCTTCCCATTCCGCATTGGGCTTGCCCTTTTTGGCCTGGGACCCACCAAGATGGGGACCTCCATTACGTCTTTTAAACTCCATACCTGCAACTACATGCATTTACTTTTGTTACATTGCATTACACAAAACAAGTATGACAACTTGATCGTGAAGGTAAATATAATCTGAACAATACGTATGAAACTTCCTACAGTAAGTACAGTAACTCAATATTAAAAGATCATTAAGATTAAGAGATCCTTTTTTAGCCCACAGTGAGGAAATTACAGTGTTGCAATAGCACACAAAACACAAGATAAGTAAATATTAAGTATAGCAAAACTCTTTTTCATTCATAATGTCTTGGAATACAAAACAAGAGGCATGCACAGTATGACATGTAAACTACACGACATAATAATTCAAAACGTGACAATTTTATGTTAATATTTTGTTTTTGAGCTCTTGATTTTGGATTGTGCTGGAACTTCAAGAAGAGTCCATCCTTTTATCTATAATCCGTTCACAGATCAAGTTACATTAGCTAACTTTAGCTAGGAAAGTTAGATTAGCTAGTTTCTCGAGTGGATAAACGGGTTAGGTGAGTATTGTTAACAAGATCCTTTGTCACTTTTATTCAACCAATCTGATCTTGAAAACAGTGTTGCTTTTAGAAGTAGCTAAAACACTGATATCCTACTAATGCATCCACAGCAACAAGCCAACTTTCACATGAAAACACTGCACTTACCTTTCTACGACAGCACAGACTGCAGAGAACCTCTCAAAAGGCGCGCATCTGTGTCTGGGCTGTAAACAAATAAACGCGGTCACAAAAGATGATAGTAGTCCCCGCTCCAGAGCTATATGACAAGTGCTCCCGCCACTACAGGAGCGAGCGACTTCCGGGTCTGTGTCACAAGCCAATGGTAGCAGTGGAAACATCATGAGGGCGGGACATTTGAGAGAAGTAGCAAACCTGATTTGTCAAAACCCCTTTATCAAGAACAGGTCTTTCCCGGCAAAAGTATACACGGTCCTGAAGGGAAGAGTGTGGTGCTGAGAGAGTATGCAGCGTGTATGTATGTAACTTAGATTTAATTTTTAAGGTCAAACTCACGATGATCTGTCCATGACCTCTATGTGAAACCAATGTTACAACAATAACACGGATCTAGCAGGTTATTGTGTTTAGTGTAGTGTGCAATACCACTATCAATTGATTCAAATGGCTAGTGGGATTACATGTGTTACTCAATTTGATCAAAACCAGTTGAATTTTCTGAATTTTCTCTGTCATATTAGTCAATTAATCTAGCTATGGTTCAACATGTGGATTAGTTGACTGAAAACTGCAAAAAGAGGTCATGGAGTAAAACAGAGGAAAACAGCGGAAGAGCCAGATCAAAACTCTATTCAACCCTTTTTTATTATTAATAGCTAAATATTTCAATCATTTAATTCAAGTTTTTTTTTGCCCCAAGTACGTATGTCTAGGGCATTCCCTCCTTTTTCATTGACTCATTGACTGACAGGGCACGTTTACGCGTTCAAGAATGTTTATGGTCATAGTTAACTAACAGTAGACTGCAAGCTGCAATAAAACCTGTCTCTCATGAATAATAAAACACAGTGATTGAGAATAAAAATAACGCACGGAGCTCTTCCTGTTTTCACCACATGACGCTGTACGCTGCGGACCAACGTGAGACTGCTTCCATTTAAGCAGAGCCGCCGCCCCCTTTCCTCTCCGCTGTGTTTGGCTTCTCTGGACTGACCGCGACAGCCGTGGATGTTCTTTCTGTCCCCGTGAGGTTAGGACACAAGCGCAGGGTGGGTTCCTGTGTTTGAAAGCATTTTCAGTGGTTCTTGTGGAGAATAGGAGCGCGCACCCGGAGCAGGACGCGCTGTCTCGTACGTGCGCGTCTGCAGCGGTGCCTCTTGTCACGTCCGCCGCTCTGAGCTCGACACTGGTCACACATCACACACTGAAGGCATCTCTATCCTCAGGCCTGTGCGGTGTGTGTTACTGCGATTGCGTAAATCCAGTGCGTGACTTGGAGTAGCTGCTGTCTGCTTTCAGGTAACGTTCCTGCCTCGGGCCTGTGCTGTTGCTGGTGACATGCATTCCAATTAAGTTATTTCAACAGGAAAGTGTGTAACGCTGTTTGTCAGTTTTATGTCATACTGTATTTTGTAATAGACGTTTGTTTGATGTGTTTGAATGGATTGGGAAACAGTCCGACTTTCCATGCTTGAGCTACATTAAAACTGGGAGATCCAACTTTTCCCCTCATAAATATAAAAGATGTATTTGTCCCAAAAGAAAAATTCTTGTCAAAGTGAAACGTTGTGACCAAATTGGACCCAACATGCTGTTTTCATCTGTTATCCTTTACATACTTGCAAGGAAGAGCCTTGTGAGTCACTATTGGACTCTTTGGGCACAGGGCTCAGTGAAGGTCGTCCTTATTTTTGTCTGATAATGTTGATGTAAAGCTGTGACTAAAGAGGCCAGACAAAAATGCATATGAAAGACCAAGACTGATAATGAAAGAACTGTTTTGGAAACTCCACGCAACTATAGTTCCCATTGTTTGTAGTTTTAAAGTTGGGTACCCCAGCTTTAAAAATGGTTAAAGTTAAGTAAAAGCGTATATTCGTGTGTGTGTGTGTGTGTGTGTGTGTGTGTACACACTAGTGGAACCTCAAATGATCTGATCCATGTCCTTATCTGCCCTCACTACACGCCTGGATCTTTACTCAAATATTTACAGTGTGAAATGTGCCATAAATCTTTGTCTCAACAACTATTATAGTGAGAACAAGTTTTCATGTTATACCAAATGTTGAATTGTATGGATGAAAACTTGTGTTTGGAAGATCTTTTTTTCAGTGTCATAGCTGCGCAAATTACAGGACGTAGTAATAGCACCTAAACAAAAAAAATCAAAACTGTAAATAATCAAGAGTGGGTAAATCAATTCCCGTTCTCGGTACCTGTTATTCTTAACATAACATTTTACAGAATATGACACATAGGACTATAAATGCACCTTGGAAAGTAGCCCATATACTGATTTTTTTGTATTATTATTTTTTTATTTTTTTTATTAAATGTGGTATAAACACTAGTCAGCAGTCAGGGCTTCAAAGAAATATGCAGCAATGGCTCGGATTATAGATGCATTAGAAGGGGATGGACAGAATCGATACATGAATTGACTGGTGGATGGTATTACTCATTCTTACAGATAATCGGAACTGTGTTGAAAGTGTAGCAATTGCATCACACCTGCAATCTGTACCAGAGGTTATGAAATCAGGTATGCAATCTTAACTTTCTCACTCCCAGGGACTAAACTGATTGTGTTCCTTGTGGTTCATACCTACAACTGCTCCAATGTGAGATCTGCGTCAGTTCAGTTTCTCTCCTAATTTAATCCTTTTGATATCATTTTGACTGTTTTTGTCTCCCAGCATGCCGCTCCCTCGCAGCCTGTCCGTCACCTCCCTGCCAGGGATGGAGGACTGGGACGAAGACTTTGATTTGGAGGATGCCGTTCTTTTTGAAATCGCCTGGGAGGTCGCCAACAAAGGTACGAACTTAACTTCACTGAACGGGGCAGGCATCAAATAACACAGCTGCCTTTTGCTGAGAGTATTTGTGACCTTGCCGTATGTGCGTAGTTGGAGGCATCTACACGGTGATCCAAACCAAGGCCCGGCTGACCGCAGAGGAATGGGGAGAGAACTATTTTTTGGTGGGGCCCTATGTGGAGAGCAACGTACGCACACAGGTGGAGCTGATCGAGCCCACCAACCCGGTATTGAAGAGGACCATTGACCGAATGAACTCCAGTGGATGTAAGGTACTACTGTGTGCCACACTCAAGAGCTTTTCAAACTCTAGGAGCTGTAAAAAAAGGGCTTTGTTTTATGTCCAAAAGTTACATAAAAACCCCAATCATCCTTATCACTGGTCATTGCAGAACAGTTGTTTTGGTTGTTTTTGGGTTAAACATTACCCAGGCTCCTCCTCTCTGGGACACACCTCTCCACTCCCGACCCCGAGCTTTGAAACCAGTGACATTTTCCAGCAAAGGTCAGAGGTTATATTAGTGTCTCTACATCTCTGTCCAGAAATAGATGACATACTGGCAGCGTAGTGCTTCTCGTGCTTTGTGCTGTGTCACTCCACTGTCCTCTAGTCATCTTAAGGTCACACCAAGAAAGCTCAAACTCAAAACTTAAATGAAAATGAAAAACAATGAATGTTTTGTTTATGTTTTAATGTGATCATATTCATTTTAATGCAAGGTTCCTACAGGGTCTTAAACTGTCTTAAAAGCAAATGTGTGAATTGTGTGACTCTTTAAAAGGCTTGATCTTAAGTTTTGATATCTGGGTCTTAACATGTGTGCAGTATGTAACTTCTTGTGTATTTTATATATGGTGCAAATTTACAACACCCACAAGGTAAACAAAAAAATCTGATTTGTTTTGAGAAGTAAATTAACAGATTCAGGGAGTTTCTTTGCTGGTAGGTGTCTGTGAAATAAGCTGTGGTAGTTATCAGTTTAAAAATGGTCTTGAAAAGGTCTGGAGGAAAAATAATTGGAAACTTGTTTAGTTATAACTTATTTTATTTAGTCTTTATTTGAAGGGACAATGTACAGCGACATTAAGCTCGAAGATGGATATGTTCTGCACCAGATTATAGCTAAACAGCCATTTGCCACCTGCAGTCCCTGGTTACATAAATGAAATACATGGACACAGTATTGTACAGTCCAATAGAAATGCCAACACAATACAACACACTCTCTCTGATTCAGACACACACACATTTAACCTTAAATCAGGGCCCTGTAATAATAACTGTGTCTGAAATGAAAGATGTCCATTATTTTCACAGCTCTACTTTGGTCGCTGGCTCATTGAGGGCAGTCCTTATGTAATCCTGATTGATGTGGGATTCACGGCCTGGTCTCTGGACAGCTGGAAGAGCGAGCTCTGGGAGACCTGTTCCATCGGGGTGCCGTGGTTCGACCGAGAGGCCAACGACGCGGTGCTCTTCGGCTTCCTCACAGCCTGGTTTCTTGGCGAGGTTAGATCTCCATATTGTTGTTTGTTCATATCTTAGAAACTGTTCTTGTTTTTTTTCACTATTTTCACTTTACCCATATGTTTCGTGCTGAATAGGAAAGATTTCTTGCTCGTGGGATCGTCTGAGCTCTAGGCGTATACATTTCGTAGAATCTGCTGTAGATCTTTCAGTATTCTGTAAAATATTAGTTTTGCCGGAGTAGTTTAATCTCAATCGAAACAGTAGAAACGATTCCTTTTTATCCTGTATTGACCAATCCTGGCCATGAAAGTGAGCACAACCAGGTCCCTTTAAAAATCACCACATTTTGCACCAGTCAAAATTGTGCCTCTATATTCTGGCTTTTTTTTTTTTTTTTTTTTTTTTTTATCTGTTGCTTTATGAGATAGGATTTGAAAAAAATTGTAGAATCATAAAATATAACTCATAAATTGACCCTCACCATGATGTAGGAATTCTTTTCTTCCTTCTTTCGTAAAAATCACCACATTTTGCACCACAGTCAAGGTCGTGCCTTTGGTTTTTTTATTTTTGGTTGTCTGTCGCTTTATGAGATGATAAATGAATGGTAGAATCATAAAATGTGACTCATAAATTGACCATTTCAAATCATTTAAAAACACCACTGAAAAAAACAAGCAAATTTCACATACGAACTTGAATCCTGTTAAATTCTGATCATCCTGTCTCCGTTTTTATGAATCCAAATGAGTTTAACTTCTCTTCAGCCTCTCCTGCCACATCATTGAACTCTGCATCCAGAACTCTGCAGCCCGCCTCCTCACCCACAGCCGGTCCAGAGAACACATCACCCCTGTCCTCCAGCAGCTCCACTGGCTCCCCGTTCAATACCGCATCCATTACAAGCTCCTTCTCCTCACCTACAAGTACCTCCATAACCTGGCCCCGCCCACTACCTTACTGAGCTCCTACAACAGCACCAACCTAAGCTCGGCCGATTCCAACCTCCTCACTCCCATCACCCGCACTAACCGCCGGACCTTGGGGGACAGAACCTTTGCCATTGCCGCCCCAACCCTCTGGAACTCACTCCCACTGCCCATTAGAAACTCTGACTCACTCCCTTTAAATCAGTCTCAAAACCCATCTTTTCAAACAAGCTTTTTCCTAAACCCCTTTTTTAGTATTGTATTTTATTCCCCATGTGACGCGTCTTCAAGTGTCCAAAAAAGCGCTATACAAGTTTGATTATTATTATCATTGGACTTGAGCCTATAATCGCAATCTACAAAACTGTATGCATTCAGAGCTGTTCCAAAAATGGAGTACACAAGTCTTGTACCCGCAGCAACACAAGTGGTTTATGAGCGTTGTCTGTTGTTGCAGTACGCAGCCCAGTCTGAGGAGCCGCCTCACATCGTGGCTCACTTCCACGAGTGGTTGGCAGGTGTGGGCATCGTTTTGGCTCGACGAAGGCAGCTTCCTGTGGCAACCATCTTCACTACGCACGCCACACTGCTGGGAAGATACCTGTGCGCTGGAAATGTGGACTTCTATAACAATCTGTCAGAGGTGAGCCAGCATACAGCAGTCATTTTTTTTTTTTTTTGGTGTTTTATTGTTTTTATTTGATGTGTATGCTTTCATATGTTACCTCAATCTCTTTTTAGATTTTAATTTTAGCTGTAAATGTATGTTGAATGTGTTGCCTCTTGCCCAAATGAGGTTCTCCTGGTTAATTAAACGTTAAATAACAAAAAGTTATCATCAGTGTAATCCTTCTTGGTGTGCTGTACATAAAACTTTTTCCTCCCTCAGTTCAATCTGGACAAAGAGGCTGGTGACAGACAGATCTACCACCGGTACTGCATCGAGAGGGCAGCTGCTCATTGCGCTCACGTTTTCACCACTGTGTCAAAGATCACTGCCATAGAAGCCGAGCACTTACTCAAGAGGAAGCCAGGTGACCAGCAGAACACTGTATCATTCATATTAAAGGAGAGGTCTTATGTGAAATAGACTTAAAGGAGCAGTGTGTAAAAAAAATCTGGCCAAAAGTGGCACTGCACTCTCCCTGACTCGGGTTGCCAGATATGCAGACGAATCCAGCTGGGACCATAATATTATAACAAGAGTTTTCTCAACAACAAATCTATAACCAACACCTTTTTTCACAAAGTCCCGATAGAAATCCTGCTTTTATTCCTTGCTTTGAGAATCCTAACAAGACCTTTTTATTCCTGCGACCACATGTTACTTTATCAGTGAGATCAACTTGACACAGTGAGTTCTGGCGCCCGGATCACGGCCTTTCTAGTATAATGGTGGAGGGCGGGACATTGAAATGAAAACGATAACAAGATTTAGGGGCTGTAAAACTAATTTAGAAATTTTAAATATCTCTGCTGAACTACCGTTATTAGTTAAAGAACAGTTGAACAGAACATAATTTTTATTTTATTTTATTTTTTTAACTACATTTTGACAGATTAGGGTCCTTTTTTAATGATGACTTGACCTGAAAAACATTTTGTAGTGTTTTAGTTGGGTTGTTTGTTTGTTGTTTTATCCAGCCACACTAATCAGTAACTTCTGGTGCAACAATACAGTAAAAATTATGATATATTTTTTTTTTGTAGTCCGGAAGATTAGATCTCATGTTTTCATTTCCTTCATTTTTGTCACTGTATAAATTCTACTTAAGACATAATTTCACATTGTAAAACATGAAATGGCACCAGACTCGATATGAATGGCCAAACATAATGCCTCATATTTCTCCACACTGTTTATTTAATGTTGCTGATGTTTGTACCACTCAGACATCATCACTCCAAATGGACTCAACGTGAAGAAGTTTTCCGCTGTGCACGAGTTTCAGAACTTGCACGCCATGAACAAGAATCGCATTCAGGAGTTTGTCAGAGGACACTTCTACGGGTACGTCTCAACATGTTATTTACAGATTCAACTCTTGTACGTTTTTGTCATGAGATTTTACTGAAAGAACATAAAAGTAACAAACAACTGGGAAAGAAAAATGATAAATGACTTTGTTCATATAAAATATCTAAAACTAAAAAGTGGGGCTTGTATAAGTGATCGGACTGCATTACTAATGTCAGTTTACTATAGCTACTTATCCTGCCCAGTGCAGTATATAACTACGCACTGTATTTTGCTTTTGTTGAAAGACTGGTATTGAAGCATTTAAATCTAGCTAAAAAACATAGCAGCTACTCACTTATTTTGTATATTTTGTGTGCTCTCTGTGTGCTCTTACCACTGTCCTGTATGTGCGCTGCAACATTGACATTTCCCCACTGTGGGACAGATAAAGGATCTCTTATCTTAATAACTAGCTAATAACTAGGGCGGCACGGTGGCTGAGTGGATAGCACTCTCGCCTCTCAGCAAGAAGGTCCTGGGTTCGAATCCCGGTTCGACCAGGGCCTTTCTGAGTGGAGTTTGCATGTTCTTCCCGTGTCTGCGTAGGTTTCCTCCGGGTGCTCCGGTTTCCCCTACCACTAAAAATATGTACAATAGGTCTGGCATGTGCCTCCTGTACTGGCACCCCCACTCCCAAAAATAACAATTGTAAACCGCTTCGAGACTCCGATGTGCAGTGAAAAGGCGGTATATAAATAAAGATTACTACTACTACTACTACTACTAATAGAGGAATCCCCAGCTCCAGCAGCTTTTCTTCCAACAATGTCCTATATTTTGCTTCATCTATTCTACCAACGATGACACTCTACCCTGTCCCTGCTGAACATGAGTGGGGAGATGTTGCCACCCCCATATATTTGCTACTGTGGCTGTCCAGACACTTTTTAGCAAGTCTAAACAACTCTGACCCCTTGATTTTGCAGCCATCTTGACTTTGACCTGGACAAGTGCGTGTTCTTGTTCATCGCTGGAAGATACGAGTTTTCCAACAAGGGGGCGGACCTTTTCCTGGAGGCTTTAGCTCGGCTCAACTACCTCCTCCGAGTAAGGATTGCTTCATCTGCTTTAAATAAGAAATCCCATCTATTTGTGATTCAGATTTTCTGTCCGTCGCACTCTAACTAGGTGAACAACAGTGACGTGACTGTGGTAGCCTTCTTCATCATGCCAGCTCGAACAAATAACTTTAACGTGGAGACGCTGAAGGGACAGGCCGTACGGAAGCAGCTCTGGTGAGTTTGTCGAACGGTATAGTCTAAAAGTTGCAAAAATTCCCCATTAAATTCTTTATATATGTGTTTGTTTATAGGGACACTGCTCAGACTGTGAAAGAACGCTTTGGAAAGAAACTTTACGACTCACTTTTGGTGTAAGCTCGAATTTACACTTCTTCTTATTCTTTTTAACTTGTTTTTCTAGTGCAACATTGCTGTGGATATTGTGAGTATGGAGCTGTGAAGGTCCTATTTAAAATGTATACTACAAAAGATCAGAAACGTTATCGTGGATGATCAGCTATCCAGTGAGAAAATGTCACAAAACACATTCAAGTAGTGAAGACCTTTTGCATATACAGTGGTCCCTCACTATAACCCTGTTCACTTTGTTGATTTGCCTTGTTTTCATAAATGCTTTTAGTTACAGTGTGCGTGTGTGTATACTCAAACAACATCCTTTAACTGCTAACATGACGGTTACCTTTTATTTCAAGTCAGAAGGAAACCTTTTGTGGCTTGTGTGGTGAACTAAACTTCACGTAGCCCTCAGTCCTGCTCCTGTCTCTAGCAATATCTTACAGTGTGCATGGCTTTTGACAGCTGCAGCAGCACTCAGACCTACAACAAACAGGTTTACTATCTCAATCGCACTTCAGCAGTCGTGAGTTCAGGTGTGTATAAAGTGTGGCGAGAAGTTTTACTGCCTTTGCTGCCACTTGACGGATTTTGGTTTATTGCAGTTTTTTTTGTGTGCAAAACCTGCGCGATAAACAAGGGACCACTGTAGTTTAGAATGTATCAAGAAATGCACAACAGGCTGTCTTTAGTATCTATAGTTGCTGAAATTAATATATTTTTGACACTAGTTCTGTACCTTGATACTTCGCAGCTCCGTTCATGGGTTTAAGCTTTCTTTTCTGTTTTCATTCAAATCTGAAAACAATATTTGGTTGCTTTCATGTATTTTTAGTGGGCAGCTTCCAGACGTGGCCAAAATGCTGGACAAAGAGGATTTCACCATCATGAAGCGTGCCATCTTTGCCACCCAGCGGCAGTCTCAGCCTCCAGTCTGCACCCATAACATGCTGGAGGACAGCGGAGACCCCATCCTCAACTGTGTGCGCCGCATTGGCCTTTTCAACAGCTCCTCTGACCGGGTGAAGGTATGACCACATCCTGTTGATATTTTATTTTTTGTGACAAAGATGCAGGTGTGATATTTTTCCAGATTATTTTCCACCCAGAGTTTTTGTCCTCCACTTCCCCTCTACTCCCTATGGATTACGAGGACTTTGTTAGAGGCTGCCATCTCGGAGTTTTTCCTTCATACTACGAGCCGTGGGGCTACACACCAGGCATGAGTTTTGACCTCAGTGTAGATGCTTCTTTCGTTTGCTTTTTGACATTTTAACATTCATCTCTTCCTTCAGCTGAGTGTACCGTCATGGGAATCCCGTCCATCTCCACAAACCTCTCCGGGTTTGGCTGCTTCATGGAGGAACACATAGCAGACCCTTCAGCCTATGGTATGTCATCTCCATTATATTATTGCATTGTATTTAAACTTCTTATTTTCTAACTTTTGATAATAATGAGTAAAAGGCTTTAAACAGTTGTGTTAAATTATGTTAAAATTGTAAAAACAAAACAAACGATTGTAAATGCATTGAATTGGATTTTCTACATTTTGACTGCAACAACTCAATCAGGTATCTCGTCTGTCACACAATGATCCAATCCCAGCTCACATTCCATCCAATTTTATATATATGTGAAATCAAATTCACATTTGGCAAATCCAAGCGTTCACAGTGAAATCCTATAAACAGATTGTCTTCATGCACTTTATGTTTTCATTATTCATATTTGAAAAGTGGCCTTACCCTGACAAAGATGGAGAATTCCATTTGAAAGGACATATTAACATTTCATCTGCATCTTATTAATTTATTAGATCTTAGGTCGGAGTCAAAATGCTTCCATAAAGGGCCGGCGTGGCTGCAGGTTTTCCTTCCGACCAAGCAGGAGCACATCAGCAAACTGGACTCGGTGAAGTGGTGTCTGGAGTCCGATGTGCACTCCTTTTTTTTGGACCAATATCCTGGTCCCACACCGGCTCATTGAGACCAGTGTGACGCCCCATCCCGATCATGTGGAGTTTCAGTTGTTTTGTGTCCCCTGCAGGCCTCTACATCCTGGACCGACGCTTCAGGGGGATAGACGAGTCGTGTAACCAGCTCACCTCCTTCCTCTTCCAGTTCTGTAAGCAGAGTCGGCGGCAGAGGATCATCCAGAGAAACCGCACGGAGCGCCTGAGCGACCTGCTGGACTGGAGATACCTGGGACGGGTGAGAGGCCAGAGCACTGCGCAGCTGTAGTTTTGTGGAGAGGCAAACAATTTCATCTTGACTTACTGGTAGGGGTGGGCGATAAATAAAATAAAAAAAATATCTTGTATATAATGTTTTGCTGCCAGGGCAGATAGACAGTGTAGATCTAAATAGAAGCTTCACACTTCTTTGCAAAACATGCACAAACATGCACAAACATATATTAACATTAAAAATCAAATTCGAGTTATAATAATAATTTATAATATGTATGTAAAAAGAAAAAGGACGATAATACAAAAAAGCATACATGTATCTTCAAATTGACTTTCACTATATTATTTTCAGCGATATGTTTTGCCCACCCCTACTTTCTGGTGATCTAACTGTTCTACAATATCTGTATCATACGTCACTTTACTTCACTGTACTGCTGTCACCTTACATTGTGTGCACCATGTGCACTTGTATATTGTAAATAGTAACTGTAACTCTATTTTTAATTTAAATGTATTCTTTAGAAGTGTTTTTTATTCTTATTTTTATTATCTCTTTTTGACTGTTGCACTGAGCCAAAGCAATTTCCAAGGCTGTGACCTCCTGTTACTTACGTGGCAATAAAAATGATTCTGATTCTGATCATTCAAATGCAATGGTTTAGTAAAAAAATATTCTTTTCTAAATGTTACGGGCTCAGTGCAACATGAATTATTGCAGGTACACACCCTTTAGAACCTCATTCCTTGGTGTTGCAAGTTTCTTCACTTGTTGTTGTACATAGTCCCTAAGTATAATGGTGTTGTTCAGCAGTATGCATTGTCCCCAGTTTTAAAGAAATATTTATAGACAAAACGATAGTATAATAAAGATGAGCCTCTCTGTCAAAGTGGCTGAGTGGTCGGCACGCTCTCTTCTCAGAAAGAAGGTCCTGGGTTTGATTTCTGATGTATTTGCTCTGCTCTCTAATTTGCTATCAGATGGAACAATCAGTTACTAATTCATTGAATGTAATTTTGTCTTCCAGTATTATATATCGGCGCGGCACATGGCACTGGCCAAAGCCTTCCCAGACGCCTTCATGTATGAGACTCAGGATCCTACATCGGTGAGTCTGTCTTGTCAGATCATGGAAAGGGATCATGTAACCCTCATCCACGCTCGTAACTCCTCCTTCTTCCTCCCATCAGACCTCAGGCTTCAAGTACCCACGGCCCGCCTCCGTGCCCCCCTCCCCCTCCATATCCCGCCACTCCTCGCCACACCACAGCGAGACTGAGGACAACGACGACGACGAGCGCTACGACGAAGACCTGGAGGCCGAGAAAGACCGGCAGAACATCCGACAGCCCTACACATACCCCTTCAAAAACAAACTCGCCCTCGCGCAGGCCGCCAGCAGCAACGCAAACGGCAACGGTGATAGTAACGCGAGCGATAAAAGCAGTGAAGTCGGCAGCGCTAAGGGAGAGGCCGAAAACGTCTAAAAGGACCTACGCCTCTTCGTCTATTGGCTGGGAAGTGCCGTAGTTCGTCTTCCTAAACTGTGCAAACCCTAAACCTTAATGAAAAAGTTCTCCCAAATATAGGATTTCTCAGTTACCAGAACCAGCAAATGCAGTCAGTGCGGTGTAGCAGAGGGATCACAGAGACTGCCTCAAAGGGAACAATCGCAGGTGCATCCAAGGCTAGGATATAGTTTTTGGGAAAAGAAAAATGAGTGAATTATTTGTCCACATTATTCTTCCACAGTTCCCAAGTTTTTTTTCCCAAACTTGGAAGTGTATGGACTTTAATATATAATTAATTAAAACTATGGTACCTAACTTTCAAACCACAAAGTAACTTGGTAATAATAAAATCCATCAAAACAATCTGGGACTCGTTTTCACACACAGGTACATAGGCCTCAATCATTTTTTTTTTTTTTTTTTTCACACCAACATTTAACCAATCAGCTCTCACAGGGCTCTACCTTACAAGAGTTTTATAATGAGACTGAAATGTTGTGAACAAATACCACAACATGCATTACTTTTTTTTCTAAAATCTTCCTTTTGGAAAAAACGTGTTATTCACAAAATTAAAAAAGTCAGGTACCACAGCTTTAACACATACAAAATACTTTTCTAGCAACTTTGTGAATGTGCCTTTGGTTGTACTAGAGTGTTTTGTTGCTTTAAGAGTTGTGCCTAATCATGTGGCCGTATATAAATGTATATTATATATGACAGGCTGGACTTTAACACTCTATTCTACTATGGATGCACTTGTTGAGTACAGAGTTGTTTTCAGTCAAGTTACTAAAAGCCGTGGACTGACTTCCAGCTTATCGTGTGTTTCTACGCATGCTTCGCTCCATTCTCAAAGTCACTCCACTCAAAAAGCACTTCCTTTGTGTTTTTATCCTTTGCCACGAAGGGAAAAAAAGTTGTGCATCTGTAGCACCCTAAATGTGATTTCCATGAACAACATCACATCGCTATAAGTGTTTGTGTGTGCGCGCCTTATTATGCAAGACTTGAAAAATTCGCACTGTGTGAAAGTCGGATTGTGGAAACACGGCGTGAAAAGTGCGTCTGAGTAAAAAGGGCAACGGCAATATAAAAAAGAAACACAAGGTTGTTCTAAGTGTGACCAGTACGTTGAGGGGGAACAAGGCAAGATGTGGCTGTAAAGGTTTAGCATTTGTTACCAACTTGATCCAGATCAACTTCAAATAAATAGTGTTTGATAAATGAGTTGTGTTTTTGCTTTTATTGTGAAATGTAACAGTGATAGATTTTTATTTACTTTGGTGTCAACTTCAGCACAGGTAAACGCGTCCGCCGTGGCCTTTGCAAACTGGAAGGGGGGAAAATAGACTTTGCTTACTTGAAAGAACATTATTTTGGAATTAAATGAAAGTAAGAGAAGGTTCAGGCCGAGCGTACCGAGCAAGCTGTTCCAAAATGACTTGTATGTAGCGGCGCCGGTCACAGCTCCAAGTTTGGCAGGATTTCTTCTCACTGTGTGCACTGTGAAGCCATCAGGACCTGTCACTTCTACCTCCACGACGTGATAGTCGCTCAGCCTGAGGGAAAACTACAATCAATCCTTCATATTGTTACTTAATAAGCAAAAAGTGTTGTGACGTCTGGCAGGTGATATCATTTGTTCAATCTTAGCCAAGCTCTGACCAGGAGGAAAGAAAATAGTGCATGACTTGCCTTTTGTTGCTTGTAATAACTGTCTTTTAAAAGTTGAAATTAAAACTAAATAGACAATCTACTCGCTCTGCAACGAGGACAAAAAATGTAATCTTGGATTCAATATGGTCTCATTTGACACTGGGCAACACTACGTTTGGTCAAGAGGCCTAACGCTAACCAGTGTTTGGAGTAACGAGTTACTTTTGAGATACAATACAACAACTCTGTGGTGTAAAGAGGGGGATGTGATGTATTCTAGTTAACATTTGTATTTGACCTTTTATTTAACCAGGAAAGTCCCAATGAGATTAAGAACCTTACAAAGGAGTCCTGGACGATCAAACTAGTTTCCTGCAGATTAAATGCAAATGCAGACTTGCTTTTTCTCACTGTAATTATTTGGGAAACAACGATGATCCTTGGAGCAAAGTGGTCATTTTGATGTAGACAATACCTTTTTGCAAGACATGAGGGTTTTTTTGTCAGAATTGTAGGCCTTTCAGGTCATGCAAAACCATTGATACTAAAACATGGCATATTCTTCATGAAGTGCTATAATTTAGTTTCATGTCTTGATTTTAAAAGAATGAATGAACTACATAAATAAAAACAGACACAAAATAATACAAAATTCACAAATAAGATCCACTGGTCTCCCTGGTTCTTCTCGTAGCAGTACCAAACAGTACTCACTCTGTATCGGACACTATTTCCCCCTGCACCCCGGCGAAGCCCAGAGCTCCTGCTGCCACCGCCGCAGCTGCCATAGTGTTCACGTTGTTGGGGGCGAGTGGGCATAACTCCGCCACTGAGCCTCTGAACAGCACCCGCCTACCCTCAGCCTCCGACCAATCAGAGAGCACGTCGTTGGTCAGCCGGAAACAGGACGGGTGCTTGGACATTCGGATGAATAGCGCCTGGAAGTGAACAAGAGCAAGCCTTCCGTGACACTGCGCTTTGGGACGGAATAGATCATCAAAGCATTAACACTAGACTACAATATTATCTATTATTTAGAGCCTGGGGTACCTCACTTTTACCCTTTAATGGTTACCTCACTGGGGCATCTCTCACTTGATTTTAGGCAGTTTTACCATCATGCTGCAACTCAAGCATTTCTTTAGAAGCCTATGATTAAAAAAAGGGTGTTATTTGAGGTCCCACATCTTGGCATTGCTTTCTTCAAGGAGTGAACATTAAAGGGTTAAAACGGCATCAATTGAATTCATGTCTAAGTAAGAACTGTCACTGTCTCACATGCATCTGCTCTCAGCCCGAAGAGTCAAATAATGTCTGACCGGGTTCTCTGCTCACATGGATGCAAAAGATGAACACTGCTTATGTGGTCTCATTTGTTCACATTTCACTTTTTAAAAATATTGGGGTCAAAATCTATAAAGCTACATTGAAAAGGTTGACAATTATATTATGAAACACTAATAATTGTTTAAAGCTCATGGAATACCTAAGAATGGAAGGTTGGTGGTTTAAATCCTGCTGTCTGCCTAAACATTTAATCTAACCTCTGCATCTCAGTGGGACATTCTGAATACTGAATACCCCTAATGACATACAGATTCGGTGTATTTCCCTGTTCTACCTCCTGTCTCTGTTATTCACATAAACACACTTCAGCAGGAATGTGTGCGAAGTCATCAGCTTTTGACGTAGCAGTTGTAGTTTGTTTTACAATTATTTTAAGTTATACTGAATATACAGCACAGTGTCCTCAGCAATATTACAAATAAAGTATCCGAAGTATCTCTCTGAGCTGATCACGTTCATACGGCGCTACCTTCAAGGCCCCACTGTCGCTGAGCCTCTGAATGTCCTGCCCCCCCCACAGAGCTCCACTGGGCACATACAGAGTCCGGCCCCCCTGCTGAGCTGCCCTCCTGAGCTGCTGGTTCAGCTTCGGCTCTGAGAGGGCGGAGGGAGAACCCACCTGGAGGAATAATCATCACAAATATGTTTATTGTTATTATTCTATTGCTACATTTGGTTGTAGATCCGGTCACATGATAAGAGACTGACCAGGAAGTGAGACTTTGACAGAAATCTCTCTCCAAACTCCTGCACGATGTGAGGATGGCACACCTCCACGATGACGTCACACCCTCTGTAATCATATCCAGAATCAGTTTAGAGAGCTGATTAGAATACGTTATATCTTTACTAAAATCTTAAAAGAATTTCATGTTTTTTCAACAGATTGTATTACAGATATACTGTATGTCTACAACGTGTCCTGATATTAGTCTAGGGCAGTGTTTCCCAAAATATGGACCGGGGCCTCATGGATTGCCTCAGTGCCACTTCAGAGGTCGTCCAAACAACAAGACAATGACATTTAGTAGTAATCTTTATTTATATACCGCCTTTTCACTGCAGATCTGAGTCTCAAAGCGGTTTACAATTGTTAATTTTTTGGGCATTTGTCTCTCACTCCACACAGAGATGGGAGCAGAGTAGCCAGTACAGGAGGCGCATGCTAGAACTATTGGACATATTTTTAGCGGTAGGGGAAACCGGAGTACCCGGAGGAAACCTACGCAGACACGGGGAGAACATGCAAACTCCACTCAGAAAGGCCCTGGTCCGACCGGGATTCGAACCCAGGACCTTTTTGCTGAGAGGCGAGAGTGCTATCCACTCAGCCACCGTGATTTATATTTATCAACTTATTTATCAAATATTTGGTTAAATATTTATTTCTAAATATAATGTAAGCCTTTAATGTTGCACCGAAATTATTTGACTAGAAATACAGTATAGGGTTAGGTCAAAGGTTTTCCAACTTTCCACGTTCTTTCTCAATTACCGTGAAACTGTAATAATGATTCCATTCATTTTCCAATTTCTTATCAAGGCAAATTGAAAGTTACTTAAAATGTTACTGTTACTTCAAAGTACATTACTGTCTCTGAATTGTAAAGCATTACACTACGACTGCATTACTTTAAGTTACAAGTTGGCTACAGCTGCCAAAGGTATATCTCACAAGGGTTAAGAATTATTATTATTATTTAAATATACAAAAATGTCAGTTTTTATAACATTAATAATTTATGAAAACAACCTTTTTAGTTTACCTCTGAGCAAATGATGACAGGTCCTGGAGAATGAGCTGTGGTGGGACCTCGCCTTTGAGTTTGTCTGCATTTCTGTTCCAAACAAAAGCCAGCTCCAGTCCCACTTCAGGACCCTCCGATAAAATCCTCTCCACCAAGAACTGCCCTGTGTCCCCACAACAAATAGTATTTAACGTGAATAACAGCAGATAATAGGCTGTAGGTGAAAATAATAGATTTTTCTTTTGCTTTCATACATTTATAGTGGAAAAAGTAACCCATATAAATGTGCTGTGTCAATACTAGTCCAGGGTGGTTGCTCTTTTTCTAAATTAAAATTCCACACTATTTTTAAAACTGATATTTTTTAACTTTAACTTTATGTACTTGTATACTTGTGTGCCTACTGCCTACTTCATTGGTTGAGACTGCACCAACTGTGTTTGTTAGAAATGTAATTTTTTTTAACCATACATTTTTTCCCATACTTTATTAAGACTTTCACACAAAATTCAAGACTTTTCAAGGTCTGGAAAACAGTGTTTCAAAATTCCATAATTATTGAGACTGCACAAGCACCCTGGTCGTCTTAAAGGGACTATTCTTTACAAAATGTGTATATAAAACAGAACACCGGTGTGCACTCATGACCGCTCACATACCCAGGTGCCCATATCCCACCACTCCAATCCGCAACGGGGAAGTGCTGCTGGCTGTAGTCTGAACAGAGAAGGCTTTTGTTATGTCATTGTTCTAACAAAATTATACATAGATTTAGATTTATTTTGTGTGTGCATGTTTCCATATCTCACCATGTTATCGCACAACTCCGGTGTCTCCCCCCTTAATGCAATCTAAGCACAGCTCAAAGTTTGGAGGATAAGCCAGTCAATCATTGCCAGGGCTGCTTCAGTGGGACTCGGTAAAAACACATTTCTTTTTATGTTTTTACTGTTTTCTCAAGGTGATGTCATTTGTTTATCAGCATATAATTGACAGATGTACTATTAACCATATTACTGTTACAACCATGTGTGGCTTCTAGTTGGGTCTGATGTAACTCATGATAATGTAATGTTTTTATTTCTACATATCTAAAAAAAACACAAAATACACACATACCTACCTAAATTAGGATTTTGACGATAATGGTAGTTTCAAAATGTTTTTTGTACAGTTTATAAATGTTTTTGTTTTTTTTCATATAATTAATATTAGGTTTATGACACAAACCTAAGCCACAAGATTTGTATGTTTTTGAGGGGTTGAAGTGTCTGAGTGAATGAGAGGTTTTATTGGAATTTTAGTAAATGTTTTAAACCCTCAAATACCCTTCACTACTATTTTTTGTTCTGTGCTTATTTCCAGCCGGGCCGAGGTCAAAGTTGAGATCCAAATGAGTGAAATGTGCAAAGCAGGAGAGCGTTGATCGGTATTATCAGAATGAATGGTCCAAAGTGCGTTAGTGTGTCTGACTCAGGCAGGAGCTCGTCAAAGTCAGGAGACGACAACTGGCAACACCACAAAAAATTACACTTTAGAATCAAAAAGAAAGTTTACTGCCAGCTTGGGCTACATTTATTTCAAATTTAAAATGGATATCTTGGAGACTGACGCTTTCTACCGCAGGCAGAGGAGAAATATGGTATGACACATTTTTATCTTTTAAAAAATATATATATACAAGTAATTTTTTAATGTATTTTCTCTGCAGTCTTGTTCTCTGTTTGTACACCTGGTGCCGTTCTTTCTGGCCACCGCTGCATATTTTTACGTATGGACACCGGCGTCTGTGGGGTCGACCATGGCTGCGGGGGTCAAATCGGCTCCTGCGCTCCTATTGGCTGCGGTGGTCCTGATCTGGAACGGGCCGCAGAGTTTGCTGGGTGTGGCTGGGGGTCTGCTCTGCTCCGCTCTGGGGGACTTCTGCCTCGTTTGGCCCGAGCAGCTCTTTATTCACGGTGAGAAGATTTGTTATGTATCAAAACAGACCTGGAGATTTTTTTGATTTTTTTATAGATCCATCCGCGCTAATATCTTCTGGCAACAAAAATGTAACTCCACCCCTTCGGTCTAAAAGCTCCAGTCTTGTAATGATATGTTGTCATTGTGCCACATCACATCACACCTCCACATTTCTGCCTTTTAAAACAACATAAATTACTGTTGCAACCGGTAAAATTAAACCAAACACATTCAACTCCTCCCTCTGGTGGAAGCAGAGAGAGTTACAGGCAGAACACATTTTTAACCTTCATACTTGTTTCACAATATATATTCTCTATTTAAAATATAATTTTAAATTGTAAAATATGAAATGCCAAAGTAATTAGTCTCTGTAATATCTAAATGTTCGTAAATAATGTATACTTCTTCTTTAAAAATTGACTAACTTTCTAATCAATAATTAAATGGGACTAAATAAAATAAATAAACTAATAAATAACTAACTGCAGTAATTTAGTCACCCAGTACAGTGTGGTGTGGACTCATTTGTTAACAGCCTTTTACTTTGGGGACATCATTGATTAGTCATGAAACAAAAAGGTTATGTACCCAAGCTTTATATCATTGAGAGAATGAAAAATAATTGCTGTTGAAAAGACAAAACCAAGAAACTGAGGAGGAAACTATGATAATTTCAGTCACTGTTGTAGATTTTATATAATTTAATCATGTTTTCATTTGTGTCAACATTTAACAAACTGTGAAATTCTATATTCAATCATGAAATTGTATAGTTTTTCTATATTATTATTATTGTGTTTTCATATGATGTGTTTTCCTGAGGTCAATGATTTTAGAGCAAAACAGGCCAAGGAAAAAGTTCTTTTCAGAAAGGGAGTCTTCCTTTTCTCACCGGACACGAGATGAGACCCCACAAAGTAAATACTGTATTTACTTTGTGGATGATTTGTGTCTTGGTTACAGACCTGTTCATTGGGCGTGCAGTTTGTTGATGATGTGATTTAGCTCAGTCTGCTCTGATCCACACTTTCTTTCACTTTCATCAAATCAAATCATTTTGTTTTGTCTTTGCTTTTCAATCAAAACCTGTGCTTTAAATCAGTTTAGTCATTAAATCTGTAGGCTATTAGTTATGGTTTTATGTGTTACTTTTTATTTACAGTACTTTCTGCACTATTAAGCGCACAGTTATAAAAAACGGGCCAGCTAAATTTGACGAGATTCAATAAGACTCAAGTTCAAAACTTTACAAGCTTTACCCGAGTGACTTTGTGCACAAAGTTTGACACAAAGAGATAAGAGCAGCACCAAATATAACCAGTTTTGACCCAACGACTAACCTTGAATGAAAGAAGTTCTTAAATGTTGAAATATTCTCAGAATAATAGACATGAAATTATGAAGGGGTTTATGTCCATACCTGCCTAAAAAAAAAACTCGTCACATCTGAAGAGTTAAGAAGGGGTAGGCCTGGTTAGTACTGTGATGGGAGACCTCTGGGAACAGCAGGTGCCACAGTGGGGCAGCTACAGCATTATTGGGCTAGATGTTGCCTAGTATGGCGGTGGCGGGTATATGAATATTTGGTGGGGCCGATGGCACAGTAGTAGTCCACCACGACCGCTGTGTAGGGAATGAATGAATACAATGTAAAGTGTCTTTAAGTGTACAAAAAGTGATATATATAAATTCATTCATTCATTCATTTATTTTCTACCCCTTCATTAGTCCATTTCTGGGTCGGGGAGGTGACAATCAGAGCTGCCACCCAATATTCATAGCACCAGTCCCTCGCTGATCAGCCTTAGGTGTTTCAGCGGGGGCTTAAATGTCTTGCCCAAGGACACAACAACAGTAGACATTAGTGGGAGCAATTGGAGTAGGCCCAAACCCACGAACTTCAGGCTCTAAGGCCAATGCTCTACCAACTGAGCCACTGTCTGGATATATAAAATGATGCAATAATACATGAAAAATAGAAAAGACAGTAGTTTCATAGTTTTTGCTTCATCCATCCATCATATTTTTGGGACACTTCTTTCATTGCCATTTTTGATTTTGACAGAGTATGTAAACTAATACGCACAATGGAGTAATAACCAAACTCACACTGGTCCCTGTTTGCTGCAGGCATGGCTGCCTTCGCTGCGGCCCACCTCCTATACTCCCTGACCTTCCTCTCAACGCGCTACAGCTCCGACTCCTCCTCCAAGTGGCCTCGCGTCTTTTACCCCGTCTTGTTCCTGACGGGAGGGTCTTTCTACTTCTACTTGTACCCGTACCTACAGAAGGCCCCCGACTCGGAGCTGCTGGTGCCGGGGGTGGGGCTGTACATCCTGCTGATCACCCTGATGGGCAGCCTGGCAGTGCGCACACGGAGCCTGATCACGGTGCTGGGGAGTCTGGTCTTCATGGTGTCGGACGTGACGCTGGCCGTGCAGGTGTTCAAGGCGGCGGTGATAGAAAACGGGACAGTCGTCGTCATGGTGACCTACTATTTATCTCAGCTGCTGATTGCTGTGGGCGATGTGAAGACAGTGGAGAGCAACGACGACTTCTCCAAATGGAAGCGGGCCTAAGAATGCTTCTCCAAATGTTTTTTATTACTGTGAATGTGAAATGTACTAAGATATTTAGAAACAAATGAATAATAATAAAAAAAACCACTCCGTTTTATTCTAAATTTGTTCAAACATTTTATTATTATTTATTATTTGCTTTAATCCATGTTACAACATTGCTCAGCCCTCTAATGGGAACTCGGAAATTCAACTCTGGCTGAAACTCGAGATGCGTCAACAGTCCCCGGTTTCCAAAAGTTTGTGACACTGTGACACGTGTCAGATTGTGATTGGTAGAAGAGACAAACTGAGAGGGGATTTGTTTTATATCACACTGATATCTACACTATTTTAATATTTTGAAAGCGGCATCAGTTCTGTAATATAATGCCTAGCGTACATCAGACTGGTAACTGATTATATCCGTCACCTATGAGTTGCTGCCCCGCACACATCGACAATGTGGCAAAAACGGGCAACTCCTGTAGCAGGCCAGTCTCGGGAATAACAGCGCCTACATCGACAGCAACTGGCCTCAACTACAGTGTGTTTTCTGCCATAAACTGTAGAGGGCGCGCAATACACGCAAATGTTGTTGGAGCGCGCCATGGATCTATTAGGAGCGCGCACATCGTGATATCATCGGGTGATATCTCCAGATCTGAAGACAACTAGTTGCCGAAAAGTATAACACGGGCAACTGACTAAATCCGGAGATCGACTGTTTATCTCCAGTTGTAAGAGCGCTCACATCGACCGATTTCGGCAACTGATCATCTCCATCATCTACTCTCAGTTGCCAAAAGCCGCCTTGCAACTAGTTGTCTCCAGTTACTCTGTCGATGTACGCTAGGCTTAATGTCTTTGACTGTGGTTGCTGCTGGTAATCTTCCATATTGGAAAAGGCAAAACAAATGTTGCACCTGTAGGTAACAAAATGATAAGTGCGGGACGATGGCATTGTTTACCCGTGATTCTTGATTCACCATAGATTATGAACAAGATATTATTTATTTCTAAAACATGAAAATGACAAAGAAAATATAGTCTCATTATAAATTTGAGTGGCCAAATCTGAGTTACTTTAAAAGTTACTTTAAAACAATAAACAAACAAGTACGTCATGAAAAATACTGCAATATTTCCACATATTGTTAAAATAAACTGAAAAGGGGGGGGGGGGGAAACACCTAAAAATGTGTTATATTTTACATTTGAGGTACAGTGCCTTGCGAAAGTATTCGGCCCCCTTGAACCTTTCAACATTTTGCCACATTTCAGTCTTCAAACATAAAGATATAAAATTTTAATTTTTTGTCATGAATCAACAACAAGTGGGACACAATCGTGAAGTGGAACGAAATTTATTGGATAATTTAAACTTTAAAAAAAAAAAAAACCTGAAAAAAGGGGCGTGCAATATTATTCTGCCCCTTTACTTTCAGTGCAGCAAACTCACTCCAGAAGTTCAGTGAGGATCTTTGAATGATCCAATGTTGTCCTAAATGACTGATGATTTCATTTCATTTCATTTTCAACCCCTTTGTCCGTTTCTGGGTCGGGGGGGTGGCAATGAGAGCTGCCACCCAACGCTCATAGCACCAGTCCCGCGCTGATCTTCTGCAGGGGGTGAGTCCACAGGAAGATGGCTGCTCCGTCAATTGTGAAACAGCCTTGATCTTTCAGCGGGGGCTTCAGGCAATGTGGGGTTAAGTGTCTTGCCCAAGGACACAACCACAGCAGTCATCAGTGGGAGCAGTTGGAGTAGGTCCCATGGTGGGAATCGAACTCACGACCTCCAGGCCCAAAGGCCAATGCACTACCAACTGAGCTACTGTCGCCCCAATGACAGTCCCAATGGAGAGTCTGTCCATAGGACAACAATCAGTCGTGCACTGCACAAATCTAGCCTTTATGGAAGAGTGGCCATTTCTCAAAGATATCCAATAAGTCTCTTAAAGTTTGCCACAAGCCCCCTGGGAGACACAAACATGTGGAAGAAGGTGCTCTGGTCAGATGAAACCAAAATCAAACTTTTTGGCCACAATGCAAAACGATATATTTGGCGTAAAAGCAACACAGCTCATCACCCTGAACACACCATCCCCACCTCAGCTGTAGTTATCTGCAGTTCATCCAGAGTGATCATGGGCCTCTTGGCTGCATCTCTGATCAGTCTTCTCCTTGTTTGAGATGAAAGTTTGGAGGGACGGCCGGGTCTTGGTAGATTTGCAGTGGTCTGATACTCCTTCCATTTCAATATAATTGCTTGCACAATGCTCCTTGAGATGTTTAAAGCTTGGGAAATCTTTTTGTATCCAAATCCGGCTTTAAACTTCTCCACAACAGTATCTCGGACCTGCCTGGTGTGTTCCTTTGTCTTCATGGTTCTCTCTGCGCTTTAAACAGAACCCTGAGACTATCAAAGAGCAGGTGCATTTATACGGAGACTTGATTACACACAGGTGCATTCTATTTATCATCATCAGTCATTTAGGACAACATTGGATCCTTCAAAGATCCTCACTGAACTGAGTTTGCTGCACTGAAAGTAAAGGGGCCGAATAATATTGCACGCCCCACTTTTCAGTTTTTTTTTTTTTTTAAGTTTAAATTATCCAATAAATTTTGTTCCACTTCACGATTGTGTCCCACTTGTTGATTCATGACAAAAAATTAAAATTGTATATCTTTGTTTGAAGCCTGAAATGTAGGGAAATGTTGAAAGGTTTAAGGGGGCCGAATACTTTCGCAAGGAACTGTATGTACAAAGTTTTTTTTTTTTTTTATATTGTTTATTACACACAAGATTAGATGCATTTACAGTTGTTGACAGTAAGTACAGTCTGTGTGTGTTTTTTTTATTTATACATATATATATATATACAACCCCCCCTCCCCAATTCGTCTCCAGGTTGACAGTGTATCTCATAGAATTATGTTTAGCTATGTATAAAGGATAAATAAGTAGATATGTTCATAAAAAGGGAAAAATAAATACAAATAAAGAAAAATAAAAATATTTTAAAAAAGAAAAAAAGAAAATATCAATAATTAAAAAAAAATGAATGAGTAAGAATAAAAAAATAAAAATAAAAAATAAAGAGGGCACCCGAATGTATTTGCATACATATAGGTAGGTACACATGCATACGTCCATCCATATTCATACATACACTATACATACACCCCTGCATATATATGCAAATACACACCAGTTCATGTACATTCAGAACACACCTTCATACATATTAGCACCTGACCAATACTTTTATTATATGATTTAGAAAGTCCTTAACCAGCTCCTATAAAGTCAATAAAATGTGACAATATTGTAAGGAAAAGGTCTTGCTGTTGGTTTAGCCAAAGGATCACTTTTTCGTAGCTTGCAGTTTTTATCATCCATTCCAGCCATTTGTCGAAGGATGAAGGAATTGTGGATTTCCAGTCTCGGGTTATAATCCGACATCCTGTGATCAGAGCGATGCTGCACCATTGCAATTGTTCAGAGGACAGTTGATCTGCAGGAACCAGTCCGAGCAGGCATAGTTCAGGTTTGTTGACCAGTTTGACTTTAAACAGATTGTTGATAAAGGTTAATAATATTTTCCCATAAGCCTAAAACATTATCGCATGTGAATCGGAGTTCCGTTACATTTCTTGCACCGCCAGAATTTATTATCATCAATTAAATTTAACCGAGCCAATCTGCTGGGAGTCCAATAACATCTGTTTATGCTTTTGTACTTTATCAATTGAGTTTGAGTTTCACGGGATGTAAGATACCAATTAGTGATAACAGTTTGCCATTGCTCTTGCTCTATAGGAGCCTCTACGTCCACCTCCCATGTATTTTCCAAGCTACTGAGAATGGTTGCTTTAGCATTTCTAAGAATACAATAGAAACCTGATGGACCATGAATAGGTGTTTCATTATCAGGGCTTGGCTTCACAGCAGAATGTAGGCAGTGTCTAAGCTGCAGGTATTTCCAGAACTCTTGGTTGGAAATGTTATATTGCCACTGCCCATTCTTTCCAGTATATTGGTCTCTTATCAATAGTAATTTTGGAGTTGAACCATATAGAGCTGTCCAATGTTAATGCAGGATTGATTTTTAGAATTCTATGTGCTTTTTTCCAGCTCTGTTTAGTGAACTCCAATATTGGGTTGTTTAGAGGTGTAGATCTGCCAGATTGCGAAACAAAAGTGCCAGTTTTAAAAGGTTGCAATATTTCATTTTCAATATTTACCCATGCTGGATATTTATTTATGGACAGGTTACATTTCGAGAGTTGAGAAAGTGAGAATGAATGCTGATATCATTCTATATTGGGAAGTGAGAGACCACCCGGTTCTTTAGCAGAATATAATTTGGTCCTATTAACTAAGGGCTTCTTCCCCCTGCATCCATCCATCCATCCATCCATTTTCTACCCTTTAATCCATTTCTGGGTCAGGGGGGTGGCAATCAGATCAAATTTTCAACAGCTCGATTATAGTCTTTTAGGAGTGAGTTTGGGAGAGGAAGAGGCAACATATACAATAGGTATTTTACTTTATGAGTTATGATCATTTTAATCAGGTTAACTCTACCAAGTAGTGAGATATACATTCTGTTCCAGTTACAGTGCCTTGCAAAAGTATTCGGCCCCCTTGAACCTTTTGCCACATTTCAGGCTTCAAACATAAAGATATAAAATTAAAACATTTTCTCATGAATCAACAACAAGTGGGACACAATCGTGAAGTGGAACGAAATGTATTGGATAATTTAAACTTTCAAATAAAAAACTGAAAAGTGGGGCGTGCAATATTATTCAGCCCCTTTACTTTCAGTGCAGCAAACTCACTCCAGAAGTTCAGTGAGGATCTTTGAGGCTGAGTTTACACGGAGACAATGTGGCAGTAAAACGGTATCGTTGGATGTCGGTTTCTACCAACCGTGCATACGAAGACTGTGTTCCAGGGGGGTGAAAACGTAAGTGTTCAGATCCAGCCTGCAGAGTGGGACAGCTCA